ATTACTGAGGTAGGAAAGCATAAACATCATCTACCATAATAGGCAAAAACAATACAAACAAACAAAGCAGGCTGAATAAAGGAGGACGGTATAACGATCCATCGACCAATGTGTTTTTAGAACATTACCTAATGAGAAGATCAACGGGAGAGGTAGCGCTTTTATCAGGACGGTCACGCTGCACTTCTAAAAGTCGTTCTCCGTTCAGTTTTACTAGGATTTTTATTATAAAGTTCCCTACAACCTTGTGGGTGCCGGGGTGGCTCTTCAGCTCAGGGTACTGCCTAAGCTCTAGTTTACGGGTTTAGGAAAAAAATCAAGGAAAAGTAGCAGCACTGGGTAAGAATATTCTGTAACGAGTTTGGCTAACTCGAACAAATCGAACTCATATTGATTGTGCTACCCTGGTACCGTAATTCTATCACCTGTTTGGTATATTCCGTCCTCAACTCGAATATTTTTAAGAAAAAATTCGAAAATTTCCAGCTCGACTCGAGTTTGGTGGAAACATGCTTTCTCGTTCGAACAGACACACAACTGATCCGAGTCAGCCCTATAGTGAAGCATATCGGACAGAGTGAGCCCGGTTGTATCGCGGAATGTGCACGGTGAGCCATTGAAGCCTCGAAAGCAATGCGTTTTTGAAAAAATTGAAAATTAAATCAAATAATAAAGCTCAACTAAGTAATAATAAAAAAAATAAATTTACTACAAAAAATTCTTCTCAAATAAACAATCAACTAAATCTGCCTCTTCACGCGCTTCTCAGTGGAAACCTTCAGCTCCCAATTTTTATCGTAGAATTTCAAGCGGGAATTTGAATGCACGCCTTTTCAAAAATATATTATATTTCATATTTAGAAACAAACGATGTCATTCGGTGAACTATTCGGGAACGACATCTACATGTGAAATATTCGACGAAATCGATCCGCATGCAATGGAGATCAAGTACAAGCTTGGCTATACCTTCTACATGCCAAAAAAATCGGACGTACATCGTTGCCTTAATGGTAGGTGAGACAAAAGCTAGAAAATGAAGTCTTGTAGCGCAGAACAATCCCGTCTTGGGATACGCCTCACATTCGACTTCCATTCGAAATCGTAGTGGCATTTTGAATTAGTTTGTTTCCTATGCAGTGAGTTGCGGTGGCCAGCAGGTGTGCGGTGTAAGTCAGTGCTTATATCTCCCAAGCGAGTCTGGTACCAATCGAAGAGGCCCAAGGGGTGGAAGGTTTGGTAAGCCTGGGCCGGGGTTCGATCTCCGCAAAGTGCATTCGATGGTTTGCCTCCTGACATTGTACCCCCTATGTCCGAAATTTCTCACATCAACGAAAACTTCCGAACAGGTTCCTTCGAACAATCTCTACCTACACCTCAACTAGTTCCCTAAATTTGTAAATCAAAGCCTATTTTCTAGTCAGGAACCACTTCGCTTTGCAGATGTGTTACAACTCGAAAAAGGTTCCATTTCTTATGATGACGGTACATCTGTGATATGTGGCGACGAAAATCCATGCGAAATGTCTGCTGCTCTCGATGTGATGGATGGTACTTCTCGGGAAGCTGGCCACTATCGCCTACTTCCATCAAAAGGTACAAAATTCTGCTTCCCTCGATTCAAGACAGTACGAAACTCTGCTTCCCTCGATTCGAAACACCAAATTTTCCTGTTTTAGCCGAATGCCCTCAAGACACTGCCGTTCTGTTCATCCGTTCTGCTCGGTCTCATAACGAAAAAGGCACAAATCTGGATACGGTATCCGATGTCACCGAAGATGACTGTCTGTTTTCATGCTTGACTAATCAGGTGAGATTCTTTCCTGAATTCAATGTTGAAAGGCCTGATTTGTACCCTTCCTAAGGCTGTCGATTCACATCCAGTACAGTGCGCCTCGGCTGAATACGACGCGAAAGGAAGTCGTTGTACCTTGAGCCCTGATCCGAGAGCGAACGAACTCACCGAACATCCCACATCGGTATTCTACGAGAAAATATGTGTTGCACGTGAGATTTTTCATCAATTTTCTATTTTAATATTCTCTTGTGAGGTAAGGGTTTCCACAACGCTGTAAGGGTTTTCTTAGAAAAATTGAAATACTATAAAAAATGACAAAAATCAGTCGAAAATCAAAAATCAAATAGTGTAGTATAAAAAACTCGGAAAAACAATAATATATTGGTCAAGAGAAATAATGTTAGTATAGGTGTAAACTTGGAAGGATATTTCTTGTCAGTAACCCTGTCAGTAAAAGGTATAGTCCTACTTTTATATGTTCTAAAAGTCAACTAATTTTTTTGTTCTATGGTCAAAAACTTAATTTAATCCTTTTATGAGCTCTGGCCTCTAGACTTGGAATCTGTGCAAACCATCATGGGGCCACTTTGTTAGGCAAAGTCCTCAAACAAAAAAACTGAACCACGAGGCAATATTGAAAGGGTTACCCAATCTTACCAAATATTTAAAATCGAATCCTACCTCCCAAGGTGAATCCCCAAAATCTGATTTTACGTTAAAATAAGTATCAGGACCTCTAGGCAGCGCTTTTCTATTATATTTGTGGTGATAAGCTCTAATATGAATTTCTTTTGACTCCAACTAATCGTTAATAGAGGTCTAGCAGCGTGCACGGCGATTTGTGATGCCTACGGTAGCAGAAAACGGAAACGATTAACCGAATCTGTAGGATCGGCGAGAAACAAGGTGAAGAAGAATTGTCATTCGGATCCCGTGGAAACGCCTCCATTCACCTCAACTGGGCCCTCAATATTTGTTTGAGTTCTTACATAGTAATGACTCGATGCCGGCGATAGCCTCCCCGCAGACCCTCATCAGATCTGATGCAATCATGGTTTCAATCTTAAATAGACTGTTAAGCCTCTTCATTGGCATTGCCACAAAGGTAGAAGTCTCAAGATCTTTCACCTTCATGTTTTTAGGATTAATGTGGGATTGGATCAGTGACAACTGCATCCTTTTTTAATGATGAATAGCCATTTTTGCGAGAGTTTGCTATGAAAAAAGAAAACTCGGCTCTCATGGGTAACAAAATAGTACAAGTACGTAAAAGTAAAGGGAAACCAGCTAGTTAAAGAATCAATGCTTAACAAATAAGGGAAATAAGGCGCTAAGGACAACCTCACCTTGGAAACTTCTAAAACTGCAGCTTCTGTTGCAGTTTCTTGTCTTCTAAAGCAAGTCTGGTTCTGAACGAGTTCAGAAGAAAGGAGGGGTCCACATTCAAGACTTGGGGACCTTGTACGATTGGCAATTGTACAAACCTCTCCACAAATTTCACTTCCTTCTGGGATCTGGTCCAGAAGTCCCGTACACTCGTACATCTAACATCGTTGTCTGGCTCTCACTTGCCTGAGAGCATAAAACCATTCCCTGACTATTCTTAATTGCTCTCCCGTTCTCTTGACCAAGAAGCGTCTGATTAACGCACAGTCCTTCGGAGACGAAGAATCGTGTAGAGTGGATTGCTCACCTGAAAGGGATCTCTCAGTCAGAAGCAGCCTTTGTTACTAGTAAGTAAAATTAATTCTTGAGTTTACCTTTCAGGAAGCGTCTCCGATCAGTGTTCGGGAGCGGCAGTCGATCGGGTAGCCAACATGGTCATAATCGGTTACATGCGTGACACAGCCACAACGTTTGCCATTGAAGAATGTATCGAACGATGCGTGCAAGCCGAAGTGTTACTCGGATTTCAATGTCTATCCATTATGTACTACTACAATGTAAGTCACTTGGGTACCATATTACCGTATGCCCAAGTTATCTATTCAGGAAACCATCCTAAATTGTATTCTCAACGATGCCAGTGTTCGAACGAACCCCGATGCAGCAACTATTATAAATTCGCCGATTGTGGACTATTTCGGTATTGACGACTGCTATGGACTACCGGAGGCTACAGATGAGCGACAGGTTCATTTTTGTACACTTTGCCCCGTCCTTGTCGCATCATTGTGAATAGCACCGCGTCGCGACCGCTCGCATCCCAGCCATGCAGGTTGCGAGTGAACTTACTGATGTGTTATCATTCAGAATTTCCTCAAAGCTTTACCAGATGTCAGCGACAACAACATTGGCACTGAACAATCAACAAGGTGATGGAAATGGAAATCGCTCTAGTTTCTTCTGAAACTTTCAATTTTCAGCAGTCAACCCGAAGTGAGAAGAGCGATCCGCTCGACTCTCGACTTGGATATCAATCGATATAGGCGATAGCTCCGCCCACGTGCTTCATATCACGAATCGATCTGGCCATTGACAAGCTTTCAGGACATTTTAATGTAGTAGTCCTTCGAGTTTTCATGAAAAACTACGTTCATGCAAATCGGGTACATCGTTCTCGTTATATAATATCTGTACACACTGTATGCACTGCAATTGATCATTCACGTCACGCAGCACAGCGCCCCTGCACTGGGCCGCAACGCGACCGCGCGCGTCCTTGTGGCGCATTTTTCTGAAGCGACACCATTCTTTTAATAAATCGATGATCTGTAATGTTCTTATACCATGTCCTTTAACGAAGACATTCAGTTGTTGTATAGATGTTTGTATGTGTGAATCAATAAAATTTACAATATTTATACTTTCTGAATAAATCACATACGATCATCGTAAATTATAGCCTTAATGGTTATGAACTATAGATTGCGAGACTCATCATCATCATTATATTCACAAACGAACGACGCGAATTGGATAGGCAAACGACGAGGATGCCCTAACCATGTCTGTGTGCAGCCGTGCCGTGACAATACGCACTTCATCGCCTGATAGACACGACAGACGGACGCGGTGAGAGGGATAGACAGTTGGAGAGAGAGAGAAACTGTAAGAGATCGGAACACTACCTACTCAACTCGGCACACAAAATAAATTACTATTTTCACGCGTAAAGGCATCCCTAAGCGTGCGAGTAGAAGACGACGATGCTCAACTAGTGATCCGGCCGTGTGGACAGCTATACATAAATATTAGTATAAATTACATATTAGATACTAGACACTACAAATCAGAAGGCGAAGAAGTAGAATGCGAGAAAAAGGTGTTAGGATGTAGTGTTAGGATGTATGTGAGGATGTTATCATGGATACGATGCAACTACGAACAGTTTGGCGACAGATTGTGTGTACGTATTGTGAAAAACTGGGAAATTATCTCAAAGAAACTCACTTTCACTAGGATGCCTCCTGTCGCTAAGAACGAAACGAAATATCAACCGATGACAAAAATAGAAAAAGAGAAAAGAAAAACAAGATGAGTTACATGCACACATCAAACAGAATGAAAACCATGGAGTGAACTGTGACTAGTAGACCCTTATATCGCGAGAGCCGCAATGAATAAAACAAATAGCACCTTATCAACAACATACAGGACACATTCAACACATTTGCACCCAAAGACGGAGCGAGTTCGGAGCACATGACGATTGAGCAGCAACGGACCGGCCGTGATGAGGATTGAAAGGAGACGGACAGGAGCCGACGGTAGGAGAAACGGATGCCGAGGTCCAGCCATGGGGACGGCAGATAATGAAGCAGCATTCGAAGCAATCATTACTTCATTGTTTCGGCTTAAACAGTGAAAAATATCATAGGATTACGAAGATGTCATCATAAGAGCAGTGCTTCTGCCAAAAAGCTCAGCCTCCGGAGGAACTTGAACAACTATCCGCCTCAATAGCAATATCTCACACGCGGTCCACAGTTCTCAATGATTTAATAAAGGAAAGGTATGAAAAGCTATGTAGGTTAAACCAAAAGGAGTAAGGAGGTAACTGAACCTGGTGCTAGTATTTCATACAAAAATATGAAGTTCTGTGACTTTGCAAAACTCTGTTTTTGCCGAGAAATAAATCTATAACTTATCAAAGCCATCAACACCCAACCACGCAACGTGAGTTGACCCTTTTTGACGAGCGAACGAGCACGTTTCATCCGGATAAGGGACACCACAGGTCAGGGGAAGCTTGAAAAGGTAACATTTGCGTGACAGGCGAACTGTGACAAATTGCATAAACCACCTCACCGTAAATGGACCAGGATTCATGTGGAACTACTAATGGTGAAAAATTAGGCATTTCGTATCGGAACTGGCAAATAACTGACGAATTGAACGAATCGGGAAGCAAGGAATATTCTTCGCGCGAAGCAACCTTCGTAAAGATCCCCCGATTCTCGATGTTAGGTACGCTAGTGATGTGAGGGATGTACAACACCTAGTAGGGCGTCAACATTCATTGAAAAACTGGTGGTCTTAAAAGTGCCCACCAAACTTAATATAAGAACGGGAGCAATTTGACACCTCACTCCCTGCTGCACATCATACAACATAACACGACAGCCTCAAACTTGAATCCTACATTCGAACTTCAAACCAGTAAGAAGGTTTGTAGCTCATGAGACAGTTCGTCGAACCGAAAACGACGTACTCACCTGAACCTGTTGCTGTTTCATTATCTGCTGTTGACGAGCCATAGTTGCCTGGAAATTAGACGCAGCAGCTTGTACATGACTCGTCGCCACACCGGCCGCACGTCTCCGAGCATCTTGAAAATTATTCTTTAGGTGTGACCTTCCCAATTNTGAAAGTTTGGTATGAATCGGAAATATAGAGCGCTCCCTAAGACTATAAAAAATTACACAAAACATTTTGCAGTAGAGGATTGCCATTTGTATCATTCGTAAATAACTACTTTTTTCAGATATTTTTACAATGAACTAACAAAATCTCTCACCCTCTGAACGCCAAAAAAAAAGATGAAAGCTAGGAAATGAATTTGTACAGAAAGAGAATCATGCAAGCGCAGACGAACCCGTGCTATTTCTGGCAGTGAGAGAATTGCTCGTTACCAAACCCACATTCATTTACACGCTAGGAGCTCTAAATAAATTCGGAGCAAATGCAACGCCAGAAAGGCTTGACTAGACTTGACTGCCTTGTGACTTGACTCTAATTCTCGAATTCATTGAAGAAAGTAGGGTTTGAATAAACGCGTTCCATGTTTCATATAGAGAAACAATGCCAGTTCCTGGCACCACTTTCCTATTCGAGGAATTGAAGGAAAAGCAAATACCGAAGCGAAAATGCTTTTCTAAGGTTATACAATGGTATAATGTAGAGGAAAAGAAATCTACTTACTATCAACGATGAAAGGCTCCTCGTCGTCGCGTGGGCTTGTCTCCTTGCTTAGATCAGTTTTACGCCGATTTTTTCGAGGTACTTTTGCCTGAAAAATTGTCTCTTGTGGTTAACAATAAATGTATAGCTACAAAATTGGAATACAAACCGAATTTTCATGAAATAATCAGAAATTATGGCGTACCTTTTGCTCAGCAGCCGCCTTTTGACTTTCACCCTGAGCCACAACCTGAAAGTGAAGTATGGTAGACAGTCTCACAAATAGTGGTCTTCCAAAACCCCAGAAGGGACCGTCAAGAGGTATCAGAAGCAAAAGCAACCCGTACCTTCTTAACAAGTTCAGCTATTCGTTCATCATCAGCAGAATCTGGGGGTTGCGATGAGGGTTGTGACCGACGAGCTCCATTAGGTAATCCTGTCTGAAACTTTGTGTTTGGATACTCAAAGTTTTATAGATTTCTATCGAAATCCAAATATGCATAATTGAGATAGGCCATACCTGATCGTGTCCGTTGGCAAGCCTACCGGGGCCATTTTCACCAGTTTTCGTCATTCCAGCGCGTCCATGAAAGACTTGTGCTCGGGCATTGTGTTCAAGTGACAAATTGCCTGCAAAATTTCAACTAAGACATGATTTCACAAAAAATTTAGAAAGAAGCATTTATGGGATGTTTACAAAAAAGTTCTGACCAGCAGATGGAGATGAAGCCATTGGAGGCATCATTTGAACAGGAACTGGTATTTGACCTGTATTCATCATATGATGAGGGGCTCCCATCGCATAACGAGGATCTGAAAAAATGATGCAGCTTACTCAAGTAAGGTTCCTGACTTTCTCATCAACACTTTCGCCAGATATAAGTCTTGGTTTTACTTCAAAACCCACGACAAACAAATAAACAAACAACAACAAACAGTTGCATAATCGAATTACGGCAAACTTCGCTCGTCATTGGGATTTAAAAAGAGGTACAATCATGAAGGTAAGAGTACACGAATATAAACTCTCAAATCTTCTTCGTTAATATCGAACTGTCTTAGAAACGTGATCTTACAAAAAAAAAATTATAATCGAGCTGACAAGACAAATAAACGTTCTACATAAATATAACTAAGAAATAGTACTGAGTGGGAATAACTCCTTACCAGCCATCAGTTGTTGCTGCTGCCCTGCAACGGCAACGATATTAGCTGCCATTTGAGCGCTACTCGGCCGTCGTTTCATATTGGCTGCGCAGGCGCCTACTGAGCTACCATGGGTAGCGGTCTGAGAGACTGCGGGAGCACCACACATACCTGGCGCTGTACCGCTCTTCGACACCATTTCTACTACTGATGCGATCGATGAGTCTCAAAAAAAGCTATTTAGAGAGCTTCTGGGAGAAGATCAGAGAAGGACACCTCACCTATGCGATCTCCGTTCGAAGATTGCGCTGCGCAGTTCGAAGATTCTGTAGAATGAGGTCCACCGATGTGAGCACCGAAAGTGCTGAGCGTGTCACTACCTTGGCTGCTGCCTGTGATTTCATCTAGCAGCCCAGCGCCGAGATCAACCATAGGCTCTATGTCATCCAAATCACCCAGATCGCCCACTGAAAATGAAAATAAAGTGTCCGTTTCTGTAGTATAAGAAATAACTCTGGACTTACAGTGATCATCCTGTGCAGTGAACAGTTTGTCGACGGGGTGCTCCATTTCATCGGCACCTGATGGTGCACCTGGCTGCGGCTGTTGCACTCCAAATGGTGCGTTCCCAAACACGCTGCCTTGCGAATCTGCTCTTGACATAGGAGTGCCACTATGGCGCTGAAGAAAATACTTTTAGCTGATTGTTTAATTTTGGTTACTGCAGAATCACTACAGCTTTTGGCAATTTTTTTCTAAAATTCCTTCCGGTTTTGCTAAAGAAAGGACGTGCACTATTCAATTGATAAAAGTGCGATTAAAGATTGAATTGATATTCGTCATCTTATGTTCCAAATTTCGAGGAGAAAGACAGCCAGTTTTCGAAAATTCAAGCAATGGTCGAGTTGAAGTTGACCGAAAATATTAAAAACCGTAACGGGCAAGTGAAGTTTCCTAATGTTGGCGGGGGAGCTTGCAGACTTTGTTTCGGTGGCTATAAAAAAATGGCGAAAAGTTAGCAATCAAATTACTTAGGCGGATGGGTCCACTTCAGTCCAACATTCCGAAAAGATAGGAAAATCACAAAAATTAGCTGGACAGATCCTTTACCTTCTTTTTTCTTAAATCCTATTAATGTTTTTGATGGGTGACAGAACCTTTCGAACTCTTTTTTTTCCTGAATCTTACTGATATTTTTGTTGGGTTGAATCATGCTAAAAGAAGCCGCAAAAATTCCGCATTGATCAAATTACGATTGAGATAGTAATGCCTACACGAATACTACTTCAACGATTGCAAGATGTCTAGACATTATTATTACGAACAACTTTTCTTTCCAGAAGAAAAAAGTTCTCACCATAACCATCCCTTGATGACTACCGGGATTGAATTGATGAGGAGTAGCAGGTGAAGTGCCATCGCGAGAATATTCTCCCGAACCAGACGTTCGTTGTGATACAGTGGGATGAACAGACGCTGGTCCGCCGTGCATGCCATCTTCAAAAGGAACAAATAAAAAGATATTAAGGTTTAAAACATTGTTCTATTAAAGAGGCATAGTATGAAAATAAGCTTTAAAAATGAGCCGCTTCATGATTTAAGCGGGCCCAACCCATTAAAATTCAAATATTTGATTGCCTCAATAATTTTAAAATATTCCAATTGAAGCTTTTATTCGATTTCCAATCTAAGCTGAGCAGGCAATTAATGTACATATAAATTTTTGTAATTCCCATGTTTCCTCTTCCGAACAATGATTAACATTCAAGTATGGCCCCATGAAAATGAAAATAGAAAATAAGGTGAATGAATTTTAGCGAACAACATTTTCGAAGGCAAGCATCCAACAGAAAGCTGGCTCCAACAACTTACCTATCGGAGTAGGGTATGGAACCGGCGGTCCCCGTTGAGCAGGCCATGGCTGGCCACCGTGAGCAGGATTAGATCCACTCATAGGTCCTGGAGGTGGTTGGGCATGCTGCTGTTGATACAACATACGCTGTTGCATCTAATAAATATTTTTTACAAAAGATACACCTTCATTTCGAATTTCCAATTTCCAACAAAACACACCTGCTGATGCCACATATGCTGCTGTTGCTGTTGTTGTTGTTGTTGTTGCTGCTGCTGAATCTGTTGTTGACTAGACCCTTGTGGGTATACAGGGAACTGAGCTGGCACATTAGGCATTCCAGCCTGATTTGTCGGATAGTTGGGGCCAGGTGGATATCCGGCATGACCCATCATCTGCATCCCACTCGGCTACAATTAAAAATAAGCATATAAAGTGAAAAACTAGCGAAAAACTCGAAAAACCTACCGCCATAGCAGCAGGATGCATCATACGCTGCTCACTGTAGTACTGTTGCTGTTGTTGTTGAGCTTGAACCACCGCATTTTGTTGCTGCTGTTGTTGTTGTTGCTGCTGCGCTGCGGCTGCAGCAGCAGCCATTTCTGCTTCCTTTTGCTGCTGCTTCTTTGTTGGCTTCCTCTTCTTTTTGGGCGGAGGGGCTTGGACCACTTCCTAAACGACCCACAACTCAATTTTATAGACGGTGAACTTATAGTTTTACCTACTATCACCTTTGAGAATTAAAAATACAATTAAATAACTATTTGAACCTTACCTCAACGGGCGAACCACGAAACTGCCCAGGCGCCACAGGATTCGCAGCTGCCATGCTGCCAGGTTTCATATGGGCGGGATAACTCTGCATTCGCTGTTGTTGAACATTGACAGGAACTTGTTGAGGCTGTTGCGGTTGGCCAGGGTACATTCCCGGATTCTGCGGTTGACCAGCATATCCCTAAATGTTCATTGATAAGTAAATCAAAAACCTATTCCTTCGAAAACTTACCATTGGTGCCCTTTGCTGCTGCACTTGTGCTTGTTGTACAGGCATTGCAGGGCTGTAGAAACCGCCAGGGGTAAGAGGAGCTTGCTGAGGTTGTCCCGGTACCGGATGTTGTTGCTGCTGTTGTTGAGCTTGAGCAGCTGCTACAGCCGCAGCATGAGCTTGTTGTTGCTGCATCATCATTCTTTGACGATGTTCCATTTGCATCTGCATAGAAATATCTTTAGAAATTAAATTCTGGAGAACTTTCCGGCCACTGTAGAGATACAGAAACATTGTTAATGTTATGCAGCATCTTATCACTAGGCGACAATGCAAACTTTTCTACAGATTACCCCAATGATGGCGCTTAAATTGTCAACGAATCCAACTTTCAAACCGAACATAGCATGAGATGAAGATGACTATGATGAATCAAGGGAAACAGCGTTGCTAGAAAAAGTGCAGGGGATGTTACGAGTGGATAGAAGCGTTCAAATAAGCATGAAAAAGTTTGTATTCACACCATGTTCCGAGAAACTTTATAATAACACTAAGCTTACGATGCATCAAGAAAGGGAGGGCAGATTAGGTGGATAGAAGATGGAAGCTGATTATCTCAACAAAGGATATAAGAGTGACGCCAAAGCTTATCATCTAAAAAAGCATTCCCTAGCTAGCTGACTCCCTAACTGATTAACCAACAAAACGCAAAACGAACGGGGATAAAAGCATCCAATAAAAACCGGAAGTGGCACTAAAGCATTAGTAAGCAAACTCCATGACTCAAAAGTCGGCATTACCTGTTGTTGCATTGCCATATGTTGCTGCGGATCCATCACGGGTGGTCCTGCTGACTGTGGAACATTTGCTGAGTGAGGGTGTTGATGAGGTGGGCCATTACCAGGGTACATATATGTGCCTGCTGGAGAATACGATTGATGATGAGGCGGCACGTTTGTAGGAGGCCCACCGACCATACCCGGTTGTTGTTGAGAACTGCAATCAAAACAAGTATACAAGGGATCAGCTTTAACCATGGTGCGACCAAAGATTACTTCATCTAACAGCACCTTAATAGATTAACCAAGAGCGGACTGTTGTTGTTTATCGGTGGAGGTGGCCTTGGCATGGAATGTGGTGCAACCGGCGGTCCAACTTCCTGTTGATGTTGGACAGGGTGATAGCCAGGCGGAGGCTGACACACTGGTCCTGGTCCACTAGTCGGTGCAGAATTCGGAGTAGGAGGAGCAGCACCGACCGAACGAGGTTCACTTAATAAACATAAAATTAGCAAAATCACAATGAAAACAAAAAATTATTAGGTGGTACCTTCGCTCAACAGGTTGTTCAGGTCGCTTTTCTTCCACCTTCACCGGTTGAGGTGGAGGGACGTCATTCACAGAGACTGTTTCTCCGTCACCAACCTTCACCTTAGATACGCCTGCAAAGCCATCATCATAAACAATGGGCAATAGTAGATGAAAGATTAAAACTGACCAATGCGTCCCAATGTATTCGGTTGTTTATTAGCGATGCGTTTCAGCCTTTGAGCGAACTTCGGGGGCAAACGAAAGGTAAGTCGACGACAATGAACTGACGGAATCGATGAGGAGGTCATACTTTGTCGCCGACTATCATCCGCTTCACATGAAGGACTTTCCTCAGATGCCCCACTCTTCCCGCTGCTTGTTGATGCCACAGGTTCTATATCTGAAACTGAATGAAAACGTTAGTATGTATCTCGAAGAACTAGTTTCCTAATGAATATTGTGAAAACTCGTCACAATTATCCGATCAACTAAGTGCCACTTTCTGAGAAAATCCTCTAAATCTAACCTAAGAGGATAGAACAAGCATGCATTAACCCCCATTTCTGATGCACTTTTACGACTACAAGGTGGGGAGCTTGACACAAATACCACTTTATTAAATGATAATTAGACTATTCGCCCAAACCAATGGGCTCTAAACTAGTTACTCCAAACCGGAGGAGATGAAAATTTCTCCGTTTTAGTTGAGTCCTCGTGAATGGATGTACCCCTCCTTTTTCACCGAACAAGACTCATCGGCAAATGAATTGTGAAAGTGGTTCACGAATTTCACTTGGTGTCCATGCCATATTATAACATTCTGGCGAAAAAGCTAAAACGATATGGTTGACCTATATAATACTATCCTATAACTACAAGTGCTCACGCGGAAATAAGCCTTTTTCAATGTATTTACTTACCTTCGAGATATTATAGTGAACATAAACAATGAATAAATAAGTAAATTAATAAACAATAGGGAGACTAGAGCTAACAACTATGCAGTGATACCCTTACCCACTCACAGATTCAGTAATCCTATAAATAAAAATATTTTTGAACTTTCGATTTGAATTCCCGCACTGACCCAATTACTTTACCCAAAAATCCATAAATGAAGCAGCGGCCGTAGAGGTGAAAAGGTTATTCATTTTAAAGATTGAGTTCGTTAGGTTTATGTACTGGCTTAGAAACATCGGTAAAGGCTACAGAAAAATAGTACCATTAGGAGCAATGTGTGGCTCAAATGAATTAATGCGCTGCACGGCCAACTTACTTAACTAACAACCCCTTTACAAAGAGAGGGATCATATTAGTACCATTCCTGATTCACATGGTTGCAGGAAATAATTTCAAGAATGTACCGAGACACTCGGTGATTGAGATGCTGTAATAAGAATATATATGGAGCACTGAAGGTAAGTCGTAGAATCAGAACAACTTTCCCAGTGTCGCAATAGGATCGAAATCCGTACCAAGTGGAGAGGGGGGTGCATAAAATAAATAGAACCAACAAGCTAATTCATTTAAGAAATGCAAGAATCGAACAAAACAACCCACACCACCCACTGAATCTCAGCTTTCGAACAAAATGCATGGTCCATATAAAGTTGTGCGGATCTTTAGGAAAAAGGAAACTTTGGAAAAACTTTCGTTTCTGATAGTATCACTAAGAAGCTGAAGAGGTGCAGGAAAATTTCGACGTGCATGAATGTATAAAATCTTAAAGCATCGTACTTCTGAGATATATTGGATTAAACTTGCACCCTGAACCAATACTATTACTGATTCAAACGTAAAAACTATTACCATTGAAAATGTGGACAGTTGTTAAGTTTGGGCAACAAAAATTACATAAAAAGTATCAATGTTTGGTTCATATGAAGTAAATATTTTTGAATAGAAAAAGAGAATGCAAAATGTACAGGGCAAATTAAATGAAAGCAGTAAAAATTATGCTAGAGTGCTAAAAGGTGCTCACTTTGTACTGTTCAATTACTTTTCCCGATAATTGATTAGAAGCAAACTGTGAAGCTTGCGAACCCGTAAAAGGGCTTGGTCGGGCCCATGGATAGCTATTGTGGATGCTAGCGAACACACCGGAGAGAAACATCTCCACTGTAAGTTTTAAAAATTTGAGGAAGGAAAACTAACGAGAGTAATCTTCTTTGACAGAGGCATGAGCGAATGAAGTCGGCAGATCCGTTTCCGTCTTTGGAGAAAGTGATGGTTTAGATGGGCGTGAGTTAGAAGATGAATGAGCGACGCCTGGAGCAGAAGCGGTATGCCACGGGGACGCTGATGACGACGGGTCTAGTGACGACGCGCCCAGCATCAGCGCACATCAAGCGCCCTCAGCTATCTGCAAAAAAAAATGCCTTAAAAACAGAAGCACTGAAATTAGATGACAAACTCGGCTTCACTTTGACTAGCGACATCATCAATAACATAATGTAAGAGGCAATGAAATTAACTCCGAACAAGATACTCATCGAAATTGTTCGAGAAGAAGACAACACGACACGAAGACACATAAATGTTTGAAGGATAAACCTACTGAGAAATGGTAGAAAGCGAAACAAAATTCTATCCGGAATAATGTCATTCAGCCTAAAGAATAAAACAGAGACTGTGAGAAGTGCTTGCAAATACCTTGGAAATCGAACTCAATGTCCTGTTCCTTGCGTCTTCAACAAATAAATTTTCAAATAAAGGGCTCTCTATTCAAGGGGTCTCAAAGAAATATCATAGTAAAAGTCAAGCTCTCTGGACGATACTAAGAAGTGATTGTATAAAAATTGTCTCAGAATGAAGTCGAATGCGAAGATGACAGAAATAGAAACACAGAACGGGAAACGGCTGATCCACTCAAAAAAGATCAAAATACTGGCCAGTATAACGTTTTGAGCAACAAATCCTACCAGTCAGATACCGATACTGAGAAGGTACGATCGAGAAAATAGCCGTCTTTGAGTTATAAGAATTTATTACTGTAATCTGTGAAGAAACCCATGTTTTAGCTGATCTGGAGCAAAAATATGAAAGTCAACACCTCAGCTCGATCATATACTATGCTTCCCACTCTGGGACATCAAGAGCTATCACTTCGGAAACAAACTTCGTGCCAAGAGAAAGCAACGTAATGTGCAAAAAAGTGACATTCTTACGGGAGTTAATCTCGGCTGATCACAATGAACGTAGGATGGCGACATCACAGATCAGAGACTCAATTTTGAATCAGGGAGTTGAAGTGAACTGAGTGGAAAGGTGATGAGGAAGAGAACAGGTGTTAAAATTAATAATAGTCATTACTTCTAAGTCACAGGAAGTCGTTCACCTTGCCAAAAATAGCAAAGATTGGTAACGTTCAGTAACCTGAAAAGCTATTAATTTTCTAGTAAAAGCGAACAGAGCAGATAAATTTTTACAAGCATTCAAAATAAAATTGTAGAAAGTGATGGCAGTCCTTTGGTCATCTAACGTAAACAACCACAACTAAGTTGAGCATTTTCGCCTTATTTCTCACAACCTAGCAGCGATTCCGCTACATGTTTACTCCCAAAAAATAATATAACTAATTCCTCTAAATTTATTTACAACTCTATCACTTCAAAACATAGATTACCATAAACTGACTCAATGTTTCCGTTTGATTGATAGAACATGAAACATTCAACCATTTAACAAAAAGCGTGGCTTTGGGAAAAATATCTTGAAGAAATCGTACTCTGCAAGAAATAAGAAATCCTGAGTGAATACAACTTCTTCTCACTGTATTCCTTCTACTACTCGAAACATAGACTTATGGAAAAAGTTCGACCGGAAATCGTACCTCTGCCACTGAAGGAGTTCTCTTCGTTTTGGTTAGATTCTCTTCATGAAAATGAGAAACTATGAAGGAAATCTGAATATTGATGAGAGGAATGCTCAGCTACCATTTACAAATATTTCCTTCAAGTAAGTCAAAGTGTAAGGAAGGTAACTGCCTTTAATCCATGAAACAAGAGCAACATATAGAGAAAACGAAATATTCGAGTTTATAGAAGAACTTCAAGACTTTAACGGCCCATTTCGGTCAATACAAGAAAGCAACATATTACAAGCATATGGTATCCGATTTTCCACAACAAAAGCTTTTTTAATTGACATGTTTGTCTCCGATTGTAATTCAAGTAATAACGCCAAAGATAAATATTGCCGAGAGCTAAAAAATAAATATTTGGGACCCTAAATAGGTAAGCTATCGAAACACCATGGTCCTTTACAAGAAATGAACCAAAAATCCAATAATCTGAACCTGAAATCAAAGAAGACGCCGATGAACGCAGGGAAAATACGGGCCGCGCGCGTCGCACCGCCTGCCGTAGCCGTGTTGCGGCTGCGCGGCGGCCGAATTGATCCCTGAACCCGTGACGGCGCCCCTTGAGCAAGCCCGTCGGAGATTTCCGTAGGGATCCTACAAGTGGGTGCGCAAGATCGGATATGGGTTGGGGATGCGAAAGAACTGGTTATGGTGCGCAGAGGAACTGCTAATGGTACTGGTCGCTAACTGGCGGTTCTCTGTTACTCTGGAAAGAACATGGTCATAAGTCAATAGATGTAATCTTTTTATCATGTTGGGTATTACGAGGTCATTGAAACCTTGTTTACTTGTGTACTACAAAAGACTGAAGAGATAGATCACAACGTGTATAGGGCTTTAGACACTTCTATGCAACCGGTCTCGAAAAGAATCCGCCCTTTAATAAGCAGCTGTGCCGAAGAAATAAACGCAATTTCCTAAATTTTTAGTTAAATTTATTTCCTTTCTTATTTCTGAGTGGTTTTATCTTAAGAGCTGGTAAAGAGCAAGAAAAAAACCTGGGGGTGCCAGTTTCTGCTTTTGTGCAGTCGACGAGCCGAGCTTCCATGATGGATTCGATTTTTTTGAACTTTGCCGTTATAATTGTAAAATCTCGTGTGTTGCATCCGGATTTATAAGACTTCTTGGTCTGACATTCATGGTTCTACTTCTGCTGCAGGTATGAAATACGTGGGAGCTTATCTCCTGGCAACTTTGGGAGGAAATGCATCTCCATCTGCAAAGGATATCCTTGCGATCCTTGGTATGTTTTCTCTTTCGATTTTTTTTTGAAAGTCGTTATAGTTTCCTTCTTTCTGGTCCCACTATACAAACTAAAAATTATTTGCATACAGCATGGAATGAGTGATGTTTATTTAGAGTGTTTCAAGCAATCTTTGTTTTCTTTTTCCTCTGTGTAAGCACTACCTCAAAGAAGGTTCCCATGCGAGTTAACGTAGAATATAGATTCGAAAGCAGCAGCAGCAAGTCTAGGCTTAATATTGGTACGTAACTTCAGATGTCCCTTCCACCTTTGAGTGGAGCGCTACCTGTACGCGGTTGGAAAGGCGATAGTTGTTCTCTCTTCACCCAAACCCTATTCCCAGGACTCTATTTTTGGAACTTCACACTTGGCAAAACTGTTCCTTGGTAGACATTTACTACCTTTCTAGGCGTTCTGTCTTTTTTACTTGATATTTTTTCCACTTGCCTTTGATTCTTCAGATCATGCAGTTCTGAGTACTGCAGTAAGCTCAGAATCGGTCTCTTTTGCACCACTCTACTCTTATAGTAGTATTCAATGAAGAATTCATTTCTGAGCCGTTAGTTTTCTGGAATATGGAGCAGGCATCAGTAGTTGTTCAGGAGTTTACCCTAGTGGTTTAGTAAATCTACATTGTCAGTTGTACTTCCTTCTGAACATATGNGGTATTCGAGAGTGTTTACACCGTATCCGCCAGCAATATCCACCACAAGAACTTATCCTAAAAATCGCAAAAGATTTGAAATTTGCGATTTTTAATAAGTATGAAGTAATGTTTCCGAACTTCCTTGTGAACCAGTACACAGATGAGAATGGGAAATTGTGGGAATTTGCTGGGAAGGGTTCAAAACTAACTACTGGCAACTGGGCGCTGCCTGTTTTTTCGAATCTTCCAGTGTATCTTAGTGTTATATTTTAAGGAGCTGGAGGGCTTGACTGTGATATGGAAGATGCCAACAAGGTCGTAGAAGCTTTGGCTGGCAAATCCGTCTCGGAGCTCATGGAGGAGGGAAAAAAGAAGCTTTCATCAATGCCATGTGGTGGAGGTGGTGGCGGTGCCGCTGCCCCAGCTGCTGCTGGTTCTGCTCCTGCTGCCGAAGCACCCAAAGGTGAGCTTCAGAAATAAAGTCATGTCTTCGAATTCGGTGAAGTTTATCATAATGATTACTAATGCCGTTTATCCTCTTAAGTTGATGTGACTGTGATTCATCAGCACAAGACACATTACACATTTTAAATTTTTTAATTCCTCGTTTTGCTATTACCCGTAGCTAAGTGCGCTCGCCATCGCATAACGGCTATATACATACGGCGACTATAGTTCGAATGGTCAGGATAGTTCTTCCTGCCCTTTGACTGCGAAACACCTACTACAACTCCCCTGCACACTTGAAGCGCCTAGGCGGGGCTGAGGCATTTCGAAGAGTATCAGTACAACGATTTCTACTTATTCAACATCGAAATGATAACAGAAGTGATGAAGAGCTAGGTATCGCTTGGAGTTGTCATAAATAACAATCTTATTTCAGCCGAAGCCAAGAAAGAAGAGCCCAAGGAAGAATCAGATGAGGATATGGGATTCGGCCTCTTTGACTGATTTTGTTGTTATTTGTTATTCTTTATTTTTTGAATAAAGAATTTATTTAAAAGTTGCTTCAATTGCATAAGTAGTAAAAACGACTTACTTCATCTACGTTACAATCAGCTTTGTCAGTGTTTAGCTATCTCTTTTTGGTTTTCATATTCGCCTCGTCTTTACCATTTTCATTAATTCGTCAGCATTTACGTTCACGTATTATTAAACTTGGGATCTATTTTTGAAATCATTTCATCATTTTTATTCGACAACATGAATGATTCTGAGTGGAAATGAGCGCGTGATACAACTACAGAGTGCCGGACAAGGACATATGCTTTGCTGCTGTTGTTTCCACTTTGTTCCGACTTACAATTAGTTGCCCTTTAATGATGATTGCCTGCCTGAAAGTTCATCTATAGATTAGTAATGAGCATTTTGAAAAATAATTGAGTTATGTGTATTCTGGACGGTTTAGTGTCCTTACAGGGTATTCCTAACCTCAAGTTCTGGGGATGACGAGCGGTCAAATGTAGTTTGTGGGGTTGGGAAAGCAATACGTTGTGAAGAGGTTCCTGCAATGTTCTCCTAATTTTTTCTGAAGTCATGTAGAATTCTGTAATTCACACATGCCTGCAGCAGCAGTTGGGATATCAGAGCAGAGGTTTGGTCGATGCCGAAAAATTTCAGATATGGAAAAATTGAGGATTTTGGAAGCAACATGCGTAGGTTATAAGATCAAGGGCTGCCTGTTTCCCCGTTGAGCTTCAGGATTCGGAGATCGAGAGAGTGAGAAGATTCAGAATCCCACTTCTTGCCGTGCTGGATTGGAAAGACGTTGGGCATTTATCAACGTCACTTATTCATTTCTTATTCTTCTTCTTCTATCTCTCTTTTATCGTCGACCACTGCCCTCCTCGGACACTGCTGGACGAATGTATTGACCATGTACAAAAACTAGAACAAAAATCCGGTCTGAAGCCCTTCCTGGTGCTACTGCTTCTTATTTCAAACGAAGTAAAGTGTTACGTACTGGCAGCAGGGGGTATTTGACCAGTATATTACAATGTTATACGTAAGCAGGCTATTTTTGATCTTGACACCAGCAAGTTATTGTAATGGGATGGCGTGATAGTTAGACGAGATGTTAAGAAATCTTCGCATTTTACATTTATCAGGAGCGGAATTCGACTGGAATAAGAAAGTAACTGCACAAATTTTATGGCCATGATTTGACCTTATAGCTCTTTCAAAGCGAAAAAAATGGTGGGAAAAATCAAAACAAAAAAGGATCGGCGAGGAACTGTACTTTAACGCTCCTTGGAAAAGTAACGACAAATGGGTGTGGCCGAATTTCTGTGCCTTATGAGAGACCGTAGCAGGTCGACCTAGACCGTCGCTGTAAGAATGATGGGTATCCTAGCTACTTGTGAATGAAAACCGTTGTCTTGCTGCAGCAGAAAAGGCGCAAATTCCTCGAATAATGATTACACTCGATTCGGGAGCTCCACGCATTAGACTCTCCTACAGAATCTGTGTGGCATTTCAATCACATCTATCAAACTACTCAGATCAAGCAATCTCAACAAATAGCTGTCCATTGCGACCTGATCTGGGTTTTGACGTAGTCCTGGTTTAAGAATAGACGGTAAGTAGGACGTCACTTGTCTCTGTCCCTACTTTGGGCTATTGGTTTATTGTGCCCAGTTGTTTCCCAGGTGAGATAATTGTTACAACCTGTATCACCTGGAGTCCCGTCGATCATCGATTTCCCCGATAGCTCCTCCAGTCATTCATTGTGCGAGCCATTGTAATCCCCTCTCTGAGGTACGGAAAGAGAACCAACTCTATGTAGAGTTCAGTTCATACCGGAATAGCATGGCTCGCTACGTTAGGTATACCTCCGTTTCACGCCAGTGGTGCCCGGCAGGCTACTCGTGGGCACCCATATGCCGAAAACAGATGATTACCTCATTTCAGGAAAGCTTGTATGGGTAAATCCTTTCGCCAAGTAGTGAAATGGATATTGCGGAACACCATCGAAACCACGCACAGCCTTACACCCGAACTACGACTCTGCCTGATCACAGAAAGTAGCCCTTTGTGGAAAGCTAAACCCGAAATGTGCCCGTTTGTCGATCCATATTGGGCATTCTATTGGCCAGGTGGGCAGGCAGTAACAAGGTAGGTCGAATTGCCTCTTCGAAGATCTTTCGAAAACTCAAACATTCTAGGTACATACTCGACAACGCTCTACTGTTTTCTGATGCGAATGTTTTGGATTTTGGATGTGGCTGTGGTTCTGCCAGTATAGCAGCATCCAAGGCAGGAGCTACAGTGATAGCCAATGATATAGATCGAGGTAAGATTCATATTTCATAATGAGAATACGCCATACACTCTTCAAGGTGCCAGAATTTCAAAAGAATCTGCTGACACTGCCATCTCTCCAACCAGTTTTTGGTAATTTCCAGAGAAGCTTGATATCAGCAGGAGTTAAAATTCAGAAACTGGCTACAGCAATTCATCTGTCTTCTCGTCTTTGGTGTAGATGAAGCAGTGGCAAGCGGCGCTGCTACCACGCTCATATTCCGTAGATCAAATCCCGCATTGAATCTTTCAAAAATCAAAAAAAGAAAACAAAATCAGCCCCCGTCCCACGGCTGATCTACTAATACCATTGAGCTGAGATTGTCAACAGTGCCTATCAAAATACCTAATACATGTGTATAAGACTAATACCTATTCGAATACATCTACGATTTCGAAGAGAGGTCGGCTGCATGGCGCAATCCAAAAGAGAGAAAGAGATGGTAGACTTCTAACGAGTAATCCTTCATTCTTTTCTATAGAAGGTTGAGCAAACATTGAAGTGGTTCAAAGTGAAATTTCAGATGCTCTCGTCGCCACGTTGATCAATTATCGTAAAAATGATGTATCGACAAAGTGGACCCAATTTTCTAGTGAAAATCTACTTGATTCAAAACAAAATATTCCGTTGCAGCATTTTCTTCAGGTATCATCTTCTGCTTTCATTTCTTTAGTGAACTGCCTTACCAATAAGAAATATTTTCAGGCAAATAATTCCTTCATTATTTTGGGCGATATGTTTTATGATGTGGAATTTGCAGAACAGCTATTCAGTTGGTTGCGAAGGTCTACGACATTTTGGATTTTTCATTTATATCTATTCAATCATATAGTAAATATATGTGACTTTCAGATTAAAGGCAACTACAGCGGTGCGAATCCTGGCTGGTGATCCCAATCGGCATCCACTAGCTAGAGACCAGCTAGACAGGTAAAGCAAGCAAGCCATTTCCAAGTTGTTTTCGCAGCCCTTCAGATTTCTTTACTCACAAGCTAAAAGTAAGGGACCAAATGAAACAAATGCATTCCATCCAGAACCCTAACCTGCAGCTGTACTGCTACGACTCTCCAGAAACTGTAAATCCATATGTGTGTTCTTGTCGTGCTCTGGAGCTGCTCCCACAAGAGTAGTCTGAGATCGAATCTTCCCCAAGCCAATTAACCAACTTAAGGGCGATGAATTCAACTCACACAAGTCTTGGAATATCAAAACACTGACATCCACTGATGAGCCTCGGGGTTGGCAAAAAACAAAGTGGTTCGTCTGGATGTAAGAGGCGAAACGAACCACCAAATTAGTTTTTTATTTTTTAATGTGTTTTAATGTTATTGACCTTTTTAATTACACACCAAATGGCCCGGTAAGTGGTAAATGCCAAACACGCATGTAAAGTTAACAACATTCCAAATAGAAATACATGGCGTATCCCTGAGAGTAATTGGTTGACGAGACACTCGCCCGTCCTTTTGCGAACTCTGGACTTAAAATGTACTTTCAGGTATGCCATAAAAGTCGAAAAACAGCTACTGGCCGAATATCAGTTGCCGGAATGCGTGACAAGGGAACACTACGGGTTCAATACGGGAAATGTCTATGAACTACAAAAATTTATTTCTACATAACCATCTGACAGACAAATGTATAATGAATCTTACAGATTAAATGCATACCCACTTCTAGCATAATGAGGATAATGAGCCAAATTCAAAAAAAAAATACAAATGATACAAAAAATGGTATGTCACCCGGTCTAAAGGAAAACATTTCTGAAAGCGAAGTAGGTATATTGTACGATATGAAACATGTCAATCGATATTTAACAGAAAGCCCATTCATAAAAGAGCTACTCGTTAGATGGCAACTGTGAAATATAGCACAACCATGTTGCACGCCAGTCTTGTTAGATAATTCTTTGCAGTTGGGAAAAGACGAGTTTTTTTGGCTATGATGAAAGAATAATTACAATCAAGGTGGAAAATAATCACGAAAAAATTGTTATTTGATCGGGATTAGTACATCTGGATCTCAGTGGTCCTCTCCTTCGACTCATCGGAACTACTTTTACCTTCTCTCGGGCCATCTTCGCAAGTTCACGCTCTTTCTCGATATCAGCCTGAAAAAGGGTAGACCGCGTTTACACAGAAATTCCACCACCCTCGTGAAAGGTTCAAATGGTTAGGAAAGGAAAATGAAGTAAATCGTAATAAACTATATCAAAGAAGTAAACTCGTGTAAAATATTATTTCTCTATTGAATTAAGGAGTGATAGTTTACCATCACTTCATCGAACTCTTGATCGGGATGAGTTTGAATGTTATGAAGATCATCTGCGCGAATTCCTTCAAGAGCTGGCATAGGATCGCCAAGTGCTCGTAATCGATCACATGCCTTTACCACAGGTTCTACCCATTCAACAACCTTCAGAAGAGCCGAGTACGAGTACCCTACAATACATAATAAATACGAACTAAAAAAANAAAAAAACGTGGAATTGGCGTCAGAAACAGAATACTACCTGTTACTTCTTGAACGAGAGCATGAGGTTCGTAGCAGGCAAAAAGAACGGCTGCAGCAAGTTCTCGATACGAATACTTGAACGATCCCACGTCGAGTAACAGGAGGTCTAGCACCTTAAAAGAACCAATATTGCCTTAGTTATTTCTGAAACGGGGAGGACAAGTACACAGACTGGGAGGGTGCAGGCATATATATTTGTACGAGGCCTCCTAATTTAATTAACGAAGAGCATGTGCCCATGAAAGGTCAGCATTTGAAAGAAGTGAAGAGGATACCCGATTACCTTAGCCATATTGACGAAGTCCTCTCTCAGTGTATCAGGCACGATGAAAGGTTGATCAACCACGTGCTTGTCATCGCAATTCTTCGGGACCTTTTAAAAATTCTATTAAAAAAGACGAAAAAATCGAGAGATCTAGACCTTCGGTCAAAACAATTATTCACACCTCCTTATTTCCTAAAAATTGCATGTACATGCTAAGCCAGTGAATGCTAGTGAGCGGTGCCAGTGACCACTGTAACTCCTTCAGCATAATAATCTCAAATCTTCGTACCTAAAATCTGGTTATTATCGCCCTATACCTAGCTGAATCTGACCACCAATGAAAAAATTTGACATACGTCCTGTTCACTGCAAGCTCCATCGGTATACGTGACCAACTCTTCAAGTTTTGGTGGATATATTTCCTGAATTTCAGTTATTCATATGAATAGTACTACGTCTCAGAGATGACACTGAGCATGTCATTACAGCTGACCTCATATTTGCTTGCAAGAAACAGTGCTGATGTCCCCACGAGCTGGTATGTCTGTGACCTGATACCTTGAAATGTAGCAAGAAATCTGTCGACATAGTCAACGGCTAGATGGAAAGTCTCTCGATGCTGCTTCTCGCTCGAACACACCTTAATAAAGTCTCACGTGAAGATGAAAACAGTAATCCATTTGTTGTAGCGCACAGGAAATACAGGGGGTTTCAGCCTAAGTGAAAGGAAAAGATAAGCAGGGAAAGAAGTAAAAGAACAGCACTGATACGATCAAGGCAGGCCAAGTAGCGAATTGGTGGGAAGGCCTGAGAAGAGATGAAATCGTTGAGGAAAACTGTGAGCTCACCTCCATCATCCAATCTACGAGAATCGCCCTCGTATGTGGGGTCAGTTCGGGATGTTTCTCAAGTAATCGGTTACTCGGTCGTATGAGTTCATTTTTCCGACAGAGTAAACCCCATACCTCAATATATACTCTTTTAAATGATCATAATAAGGGCTACACCAAACAACGAAACCTTTTTCGGAGAACCAATTCCACTACAGCGAAGAGCAGTGAGCTGCGGTGGTGCATCTTTCTGATGGTACATAACATCATTCAATCCCGCCTCCATTTCTCGGAACGCATCGTTTTCTAGTTCTTCGTTATCTGCACTTGAATCGCCGTCTAGAAACTGATACAGTCTCCTGAAGGTATTGCAGAGCATCCATAAAACTCACCGTCCTCGCTGTCAGTATATGAAATACTTGGCGGCGGTACGTCACTTTCTTCATCCGTTGTGAAAACCTTAAAACTTAATCACATAGTAAAGTTTAACTGACGTGTGAAGAAAGGGTCATACCGACAGATCATCGTCTTCTTCAGTTTGAGGAGCGTCATCAGATGTCGAAGGAAGATACTCTGGTGCCATACCCTTCGATTCCTCAGTAGTATGGCGACGCTTTACGCTATGCGAGGAGGTAGACGAAACCTTCAATAAATTTCAACTGGAGCCATAAATGTTAATAAACTACTTTGAATTTACCAAAGAATCGCTCATGCATTGGTCACTCGATGTCTTGTTTTTGAATCATCATGGGCTTAACTATTCATCAAGAGCTAGATTTTTCAAAGATGATTTGGTGAATGAATTAAATTTGGGTAGGTGATGAGGTTTGATTATGGAATTCCTTCCGGTACTGCTATGTTAGAAAAAAGAAACAATGGTAAAGGTCTGGTTCTTTCAACACAACGGCTTTAAAAAACAGGGAGCAGCTAGATAAGCAACGAAGGGAGAAAGAGATTGAAATCGATCACTCTGAGGCAATCCCCTGTCGCTACCCGGTCAAAATGAAGGTAGAGCACCATCTATTACCGCTAAACTATAACCAAGCAGCAATGGAAAAAGAAAGAAGGTGGGCTGTCCAGATTTGACCGTACGGTTCAAATACGCTTGATGCGAAGCATAATTTCCCACGTGCCGTGCATGCATAATACAAAGTGACCCTTGTCAGCGACGGAGGTTTAAAAATCAGAATATAGCATAATCTTCGAAGTTCATTTGAAAATACGCTTTTGGATGGAGGTCGAAAATTCCACCTCAAAAGATTCAAGAGGTCTCTTACGGCTCCCAGTTGAGCTTGTTGATGGTAGATGAGACGATTCAGCGGTACAGCTACTTCTTTGAGATGATGAGCGATCACTGAAAGCCCGTATGAAAAATTATTATCAGCAAAAGTGTTATACAAATGAACCCATGGTAAGTACTTACCTTTCAGACTTATAACTAGGAACACCTCTATGCCCACCACACTCGGGTTTAGTTCTACTTGCACAGGCCCGCGACCTCGCTTTCATTCATCCACTGGAATAAATACAAAAGAACATTGATGTTTGTGTTTGAGTCGAAGTGGCATTTGAAATAATAACAATCAAATACGAAGGATTGAATGCATGGTGGTACAGTGCAAGAGACAACTATGACATGCAAGGTCGTCAGATCAAATCCAGGGCTGACCATACCCTTCGGAAACTGGTCCATCGCCAAGAGACTTCATAATTTGTCCCACTTTCTGAGCCATGATGGGGTAGAGGCGAGAGACTACAACAAATCGTTGAAAAGCTCAGGAACACATTCAAGTGCTACTTCTGAGGTAAGCCAGGTATGAGGGGCATCCTGAAGACGAGTTCAATAATTCAACGACGAGCAGAACCGGGAAGTTGAAGTTGGATCATCTCTTTCAGGGTGTAAATATGATTCTGGAAGTCAATGCTCATGTTTCTGAGTAGAAAATGTCAACAAGAACTTCACTTCAAAGGCACAACCAGCCTATGGAGTCAAATTTTCGGCGGAGATCGTATCTATTTGATTAAGCGGAGAGGTCGAACCCGTGAAAAGGTAAAGTGTAAAGGTAAAGTGAGAAGAAGTTAAAATGGTTTTGGCTGAAGTCCTGACTGTCGCTTATCAATCACATTTGTAGGATACGCTCACGCATTCGAATCACATTAACAATAGCCAAGATGTTTGAATGGGCATGTGGCCAATACAATAACTTGCGGTTGACAGTCAGTACCCCCATCCTCCTAGACAAGCCTAAAATCAACCAACCGACCCTGTAGGATGGAAAGCTTAGCTGGCCTGGATCCAAGTCATTCCGGAAATAGCTCTGTCCAGGGGTGTTACAGCGCGCCACTATGAATACACTTCATTCCCAAAAAGGTTTCGTTGTTTTATCAAACCTCTCACAAATTCCATAGTTGCCCTGTGAAGTCGGTCCCTTGCAGTTTCTTAGTCTCATAGATATAACAAGTATTTGGTTGTACTGTGAAGGAAAGCGAAGAAAGTCCAGAAGTGGTAGGGCCGATCGAACCCTTTGCCAACGGTGCCAGTAGTTTACCACGGCCGAGCTATGAACATATTAAGGAAATGAAGTGAGCGAAGTATATATTGCACGGATGCTCCCAGAGACACCTCTGAATCAAACTCTTGAGCAGTACCAGAACTTAACGTGATGTTTGCTATATTCACGCTTTGATCAATTTCCTTGAAAGTACTAAAAATAAAATCTCAAAAGAAAAGCTTGTGTAGTTGATCCGTAAAAATGAAAGTGCAAAGCTCATGCGGTGTTTAAATCTGCAAACAAGTCTGGTAGCGAATGGCAAACCACAAAACCCCAGCAAATTCCCGGACAGGGGTCTTGGACTTGCGCCAGCTCCGTCCAACATATAGCAACAAACAAAGAATAAACAGACAGCTGGATCTATACTGTAAGCCTTTCTGTTGGCTTTTCAAATGGACAGAATTTTTACCTGGATAGACAATCCTCAAACGGTTCGACCCACAATCATGGCTCCACTGTAGTTATATAGGAAATTTTGAAATACAAAGAGGGGATGATTGCCAGGTACACCCAACGCTGAACTTTCAAGCACAAATCCTGATAGGATTAAGTTGTTTCTACGAAATAATCAAACAGTGGTAAAAAGCCAATTAAATTACTAGTGTAATTGAGGACTATATCGACCTGGAGCCCATCAGTATAGAAGGAAAACAGCAAAAACGGTATAACTGAATGTCCGAGTGAGAATGTAAGTTGACGTTTTAGCAAAGAATACGAAAAATGTTAAACTGCACCTACTTCACAGTTCTCCCAAAGCAGGGATACTCGCTCGTAGATTTTGTCCCTATGAACTGCAATAGGATTCACTAGCTACTTTCATCACAAGACAAACTGGTTCCCGGAAAAGTTCAAAGCTATCAAGAATGATAAGAAAAAGTGCAGATGTACTGTGAATGGGGAATGCTGGGTATTCCCACCACCAATAAAGCAGACAACTTGGCACCTCAACCTACCCAGCTCAGCTAGTAATTCCCCTACAAATGCTTCATCNGGGGAGGGGGGGGGGGGGGGGGGGGGGGGGGGGGGAATTCAAATCGCCGACGACCGCACCGGTTTAGCGCGCGAACCGGCGGCGCGCGGTCCCGCAGCGCTCGTGGATTTTTGGCTCGCGCCGCGTCGTGTCTTTCCCCTATTGATCGCCTTATTTTATTAAAAAAAGTGAGTGCTTTGTGTCGAACGGTGAGAATGTCGGTCGTCGTGTTTTCCCCACGCTCACAATCGTTCGACAATCATCCTCGCATATCCTTCCCACCTTGTGGCCCTGATTTAAGTTGATTTTCTTGAAGCCCTACTTCACACTAGGGCAGAATTGTCGCATCCTTTCCCTTACCTGGGTTTCATTTTCCATTCTATTGGTGAATTTAATTTTATTGCCTCGTTATTTTGAATTTGTTCACAATTCGCCTAAATTCTCTGCTAAAAAACTGGCTCTGTCGATTCCCGTGATTTTTCTTTTCTTCGTTTAATTGTACTTTGTACTATCGACCTCCGTTTTATCCTTTTAATGCCAATAATTTATTGGGCTTTGGGAGGCATAGTTATTGAATCAGCTTACAGTTTTCCTATCGTTATTGTATTTAATATCTTGATTTTATGGATAGCGGGAAAGTTTCGTTTGACGCTTCATTTTATGAATACTAAATGTACATTTTGGAGGCTATAAGAGTGTTGAAGGAGAAGAAATTGTAGGGTCTGATTTTAATCGGCTTACAATCTACTGGCTCCCTTCTACAATTCGCTTTTTTCTTTCTTCCTTCATTTTGAATTTCTTTGTAAGTAGGAATTCGTTATCACAGGAGAGCAGATTGCTATTACGAGCCTTTTTCTTGTCCTTTCTTCTTGCATGATGTTGAAAACTCAAACTTTTGTTTATTTATCGGAGTGAGTTCCTCCCATGTAATTGTAGGCCCGGGTAACTGCACGCTTAATGTTACATCTTTACATTAAAGGCGAAAAGAATATTTTTCTTTGAAATGCTATTGGAAATGGAAAGGAATATTCTCTGACGTGTATCCCATTTGTATTTTACTTGAAACCAGTTTCTCAACAATGATTTCAGCAACCAGCGGTTTACTTATAATCATCACATGTTGAGAGTGTATCGAGTCCCCCTTGTTCATTCGCTTTGTAATTTCCTTCTATTATCTCATTTGGCCTACTTTTTTTCGACAACACACCATTGAGTGATTTGGCCTGCCTGTTGCTGTAAGTTCTACTTTGTCCATTCTCCAGGTGTTGCGCACAGGGCAGACCTAAGGGGATGTCGGACGATGAAGGTCGCCTGCTCATCGACGACATACAAGATGGATCCGGATCTATCGACCACGAACTCCCTGCAAGCACACTTGTTGACATGAAATCTGCTCAAGGTAAATCACATTTTATTAAGCAATTGGACTATTTCATTTGTTTGGTTGGATCAATATTAGTTTATAGGAATTTGCGGATTATATAAATAACCACATGGGTCAGCAAAGCTTTCTATTTCTCTTATATTGCTTACTTTGTAAAACTAAAAGGGTTAGGAAGCTTATGGTCAATATGTGGCTAAATCCTTTTTCATTAGCATAAATCGAGTTACGTTGCGCTTGCTGCTCAAAGTTCAAAATGTGGTTATAGTACAATAAGTCCTTCAGTTGGATGAATAAGGCCCACGTTTGAATGAGGAGAGGAGTGGGACGGACCTAGTTTTTGCAAAAATATTCCTTCAAAGGTCTTCAGAACTGAAAAAAAGAACTGGCGGATGTTATTAACTTCAGAACCGTGTTGAGCTTGAAGGGAGATGTGTAGGTACCCCTTCGGTAAAGGAAGCATGTCCTTAAACTAAGCTCCCAACTTCCCCATCGTAGCAAGTCGATCTTTAGGCCCCTAGGTACCAGAATTGATTGGAAGAAAAAGATAAGAGGCGGTGGGATGGAAGCCAATGGCTTGCGTAGGCGGAGCATTCTCAAGATAGATGGGGATGGCATAAAAGCTCCATAAATTATTTCCACCCGTAGATTCAAGGCAACGGTCGCAAAATACTCGGGAGGTGAAAGTTTGGAGATGAGCGAAGAAATCTGTGCCAGGTGTGAGTCGGTAGAAGGTGGCTCGCATAATGGTAGAAAGGATAGAGGATCGACCGAACTTCGACTTTCTAATTTCGATATGGGTGGGAAAAATTGTCGGCTTCTGGGTGGTCTTAAAAGCAGGTAATACGCTTCAATACTAAATCAGCATACAGTATAGAGTTCTTTATAGCACAGGCTGAAAACCGAATTGATTGCTTCATTAACATGCGTGGAGTAGTGATAGGTTGACTAGTTAATGATGTCATCACGCGTAGTTAATTTATAGGCTTCCTATTCCCATTAACAGAAGTCCAGAAGAATAACAATAACGTATGATATCGTGTTTTTAAGGTGATGCCGAGAACACATCTATAAATAAACTGTCGACACCTCTCACCGTACCAGTGTTTGGACAACCGCAAGTCACATCTAGTGGGGAGGTGCACTTCCATAGCGGCACACCATCCAATGTTCAGCGGCACGAACCTTCACGTATGTTCACAAATTATTTCAGCACATCTAATGCTAAAATGGTATGTGAAATTTGCAGCGTTTGCTTTTACCAATAACCTCGCAAAGATGCATTGCGAGCAGGAAACATCTTCAACGAACAACACGTCTTCACCCAAACACAGGTTCTTTTTTCTGTTCACTACATCATGGTTTTCTTCACTTCTCAAAATATTTTCTGAGGACTGTGCCTTCTGTTTTCTCATCTTATGTACTCTATGTTGTACCAGTACGATCTCACTGTACAGTCTTTCTAGGAAAAAGCTCCAACAAGAAACGAGCTCGACCGTATTCGCTCTTCGAAGTGATAATAATCACACTTTAGCAACCACTCCTCGCAGTTCATTGTAAGTCTGTAATGAAGTTCATTTTGTATTTTCTAAAGGCTCTGCATTTTCAGGTCCTCGCACGACTGCAATAGCCTTCAAGGAGACGGCTCAGTTAACGGGAAGCGTCAAAAGAGGTACAAAACAAACGGAATGTGAGAATGGTTCTTGTCTCGAACATTGCTTTTCTTGAGTAAAAAGTTCTCTGATTTTTAGGTCGAAAGCGCGGAATGATACTCAGTCATCACGAAAGAGGAAGGACAGTTCTTTCGATGAGCCTAATCGCCCCGACTCGCCAGTAGAACACGAAGAAACAACGTCGAAGAAGCATAAGCCGGTACGAGTTACAAACTGCTATTGTTCTTCCTCCATCATGTTTTTGGTGATCGTTTTGCAGCTTACGGTTCTTGCAATTTACGACCGCTTTTTAGTTGCAACGTGATCGCGGAACGTGCGTTCATTCTAAAGCGGTGCAAAGCGAAACGGATTGTCCGTTATTTGATTTGGAAGTCGGGGCTACACGACTCGTTGAAATGACTGTCGTGTGCAAGATGGAAAGTGGGTCTTTTTTTTTTTTCGAAAGGCTCCGCTTTTCTGCCTAATGTCACTCTTCAGATAACGAGTTGTATGTTGTTGCAAAGTGGAAGGACCAGGAGTTCAGTGGCATCCTAACGGATGGTCATCCACCCGCATATCTGCCTTACATGAAGAAAAGGTGTGATTTGCGTAATTTGTGAGTTCAATACTCTATTTATTTAAACGTTGGATAGTGCATCTCATCCAGTTTGATTAACCAATTACAGTTGTTGAGCATATTTTTGTGATTCAGTAATGATTACAGATCAACAACAGTGGCCAGTAGTGGATCGAATAGTTCCAACGGCAGTGCTTGTGGCGATTCGAATGATCGAGCCACGGGCAGTGGAGCTAGTACTCCTTCCAAATCTCGCCAACAACCAACAACACCTCGTGATTCAAAGAAGAGAATTCCGTCTTCTGAAATGAAGCGGAAGTTGTCCTGTTCAATAACTCGACCCGGCAGCTCACTGGACCCACGTGAGTAGATTTTGCCTTTTCGCCTGTCTCTCTGATCGAATTAGATTGAATTTGTAGTTTTCGTGGATAGCAAATGCCTCTTACTTGACAATCATCGACTGGTGATTTTTTTCAGCCGATGATGAGGAAGATCTTGATGTGGAAACTTCAACCAATGGATCAGTTTTGAATTTGGATTCCTTCAAACTTGTTGAAGTTCCTGGACGGTTTGTTATTTTACGTAGATAAATCATTTCTTTTTATTTATTTAGGCGCTCCTTTTGCTAAGCTGATTCATCCACATTTCATTGTCAGCCGTAGTAAGCGAAATGTCAATAGAACCATTCCAAAACAATCGCGATGATTTAAAAACCTGAGTTTTATGAGTAATCCATTTTTTTCCGAGCTCAAAAATGGGAAATCAAATATCGCTACTACATTGTATACCTATCGCATGCGCTGAGGCAATACAGATACTTCTTTCCCATAAAATTCTGTATTTGGTTATCCTTTCCCCTTCAAGGAAATCCATGCACGTTTGTCCTGTGGATGGATGCCAACATAGATATTCTCGCAGTGAAGAAATGGAATACCACAAAGCTACGGTGCATGCCAAAAAAGCGGTAGGACTCTCCATAACGAGTTGCGAGTGATTTTGTCTTGTCAAAATTCTTTTTTTAAGGTGATGTTCGAAGCCATATGTTGCCAGACTGATATTTCTGCGTTCCGTAGACGTTCTGTTGAGACAGACGTTGAGGGGCTCGCTCGAAGTGAATCACCCTGTCCATCGACAACTCTAGGAGAAGTAACCGTAAAGGTGAGCGGTTTATAACTATTTGTTTTCGAGTATGTTGTTTCCCTTGGCACTGCTCTTTTTGTTTGATATATCGACAACAAATTGCACGATCTATTTTGACAGGCTACTTGCAATGAAATATCAATGACGCATAGACTTTTTACGTGTTGAGATTAGGTGCCTTTGTAGACTATCCCTTAATTGTTTTTTTNTTTTTTTCCGTGAAACTACTTCATTGTCAAAGTGAGTGCGTTTTGCACCGCAACCTTTCTAAATTTCTAATCACATTTTTGCAACGCTGATAACTCAACAGTAATCCGATCGATAAGGACGTGATCCTCGTTAACCTTGAACTGCGCCATTGACGCGCAACTTCGACTTCTATAGACTTCAGTGATGCATGTAGCGGGTACTATAGCATAAACAATGTCACCTTATCGAACACGTGAAGCAAAATTGGTAAAGGAACTAGAGAGGAAACCTTACCAATATCATAAAAGAAAGTAGGCGCCACGTTCCTGTTATTTGTTGGAGTGGTTCAGGCAATAGTTCGTATGCTTCTCTCTCTGCATTAAGGTTGTTAAAGCTGTTTTTCGATGCAGTATCCGATCATTTATAGCACGAAAACTCTGCTTCCACATCAATGGAGTCTCAAGGGAAGCTGGAGGAGTCTTCTAAATCTCCTGCAGGATACTCTGACATCTCTGATGATGGTGTAGCTCCTCAGCTACAGAAGGTGAGATTTTGTGCTCATGCAGATCTTTTCCTTCTGCAATGTCGTCAAACGTAAAGGTCTATTTGCGTTTCCGATAGAGGATGAGTATTTTATGGATGTTTTCTCCTGAGTTCAAAAGAAGTGTTCACTATGTGTTTGCATTTATGTGAATGTTAGCTCGTATGGTCCTATAAAAAGAGTCATTTGGACAAATGGCCACAAAGCGGCAATTCGACGTGAAAAGTTATGGCAGTGAGAATGATAGCTATCAGCTCTTTGAAGTATGACGCTGTAAATAAGCGCCGTTGCATTAGCTCTGGCACAGTTGCCTCGCCTACTGCGTACTTGAGTCGGGCTTGATTGGTTACAACAGCTTCCGCTTGTTTTTTTATGACTTACATACAAGATGTGAGCATTTGCAGGAGGAACCCACCACTGATGTTCGAACACCCCTTTTGATTTCAACGGGTATACCTAGCAGTTCAGTGACGGAACCAGCTAATGTTCTCACATCACCGGAATTCGCTCCTAGTCCTCGAGAAGCAGCAGCAGGTTTGGGAGCTTGTCATTGTATTCCCTAACTATGAAGTTCCATTACACAGAAAAATGAAGTGGAACCACCTTTTAAATCAAGTCTGAGGATGTTTCATTTAGAATCTTTACCTCCCACACCACAACAACCAAAGGTGTCTCGCCCATCTTCAATGCCGATGGATCCTGCAACTCCGACATCGCTTCCATCCTCATTTCAACCTGTTTCTGGTGCGTTATTGGTATATAAGTAGAATATCTTCAGTTAAATGAAGTGTTCGCGATAATCGTTCTCGAACGGTACGATTGAAGGGGTATTATTGGTGTTGGTAGCTATTTTGTTAAGAGAACAGTACCATAAAAGTTGTAGAGGAGGCAAGGTTTATCCCTGCAAATATCCGTAAACTGCCGTATGATGTCAAGAAGCAGAGAGGATTTAGAAGTCAGTAGGGAAAGGCAGAAACCTGTGATGAGTCACGGGCTTACTTTCGTATATCGTTTCAAATCGGTCCTCCGGACTATTAGACAGGTTTCGTTTACGAAGAATTAGTGACTTCAATGTCTGATTTCCCTCTGATTACCGATCATTATAATCCGCTCTGCTTGAATTAATGGGTACTGACACAAGCTAATGCTCTGCAGTGGGTTAGGTTAACGACAGAAATGGTGTTTGAAGTTATCTCGAAAACGATTTCCATCGCGAACGCTAGTATTGAGTGAATAAAATCGATCATGAAGTTTTGAGTCGGTACCGTCACTGATTCACATTCATTTTCAACGGGTCGGTCGGAAAATCATAGATCGTGTGAGAGTTCCTGGTTCTTCGTGATTGACTCCCATTTGGAAAATGGAAACACTGGAAACTAGGCAAACACGCATGTATGTGGAATAGTAATGGTTTTTGTGTCATGCACTTGAAGACTTTCTAGGAATCAAATGTGACTAGTCATGAGCGGTAATTGATTTTCTAGGTGCCTTTTTCTCAGACAGCTATCTTTTTCCTGAACCGTAGTTAAAATCTGGAGCCGAACGATCCATTCTCCTACTGTAGTAGGGACTATTGGGAAGTTTGGAACTCTGAACGTCATGGTCGATTGAAATTTCGTCCTATCAATAGACGTCACTTGATTTCGTTGCAGCTGACCGCAACCGAGGTGCGGCTATGAATGGTGTGGCAGTGAATCCTATAGTGAATGCGGCTGTGACGCCAACGCCAGTTTCTGCAATTGCAGCAACACGCTGTGCGTACTATTCGTATTTCATTGTTGGCCACTTTGGCTACACACTGTACTTCGGCTGATTCTGAAACTCTCAAGTTCCTCATCGCTCATGCAGGCTTTCATTTTGTTGGGCATATCCATAAATGATCAGCTGAAGTATGGCATTCGTGCATACGTTGCCTGAAATAGGAATCAGTTGCAGCTAAATACTGTTTCGATAATTATCTGCAAAGTTTTTACAAGATTTATTCAGCATTTACAGTGACGCACGAAAAAGGTGGGGCACGCTCAAGTTTCCTCTTCTTATTTACTTTCAAACGGCTGTTCATTTGTTTACATACTCTGATTACTAGAAAATGTGCTTGTTCAAGCGATTTTCATTTCTGATCTTTCTCTGACTTTCAATACTTCCGAACAGAAATCATAGCGGCAACATTAATCATTCTAAAACAATTTAGAATGCACATATTAAGCCATTCAGGGAAACAGACACGCTGGATAAATTCTTCTAATCTATTTTCTAGGAAGAGTATTATCTGATATATTCGACACCTCACTTCAACGGCCTTTTTTTTTTTAGCATTTTTGGCCTAATAGCCTGTGCTGGATCCTGCGACTGTTTTTTCTCACGATTTCCGTAGTGTACCCTAAAATTCCAGAAACGAATTTTCGGGATTTTTTTTCAGTTCAGATAAGGATCAGGAAATGTCTAATTATGAGGAGTGCAGACAGATTTCTTCACGGTATCTAATGTACTCAAATAGCATGTGAACATAACAAAAATCATTACTAGAATCCGATAGGGCAAGGGTTTTACGTTGAGCCAGGTCAAATAGGTGGAATAGCTCGTGTTAGTGTCCTCAATCGTAGCTCTTTCCAGAAATTGGAAACGGCGTTTCTTGCCGCTATTATATCTGGACTTAACCACCATCTCTGTGCCCTCAAATCCTTCTGTTGCGCTTAATGCTTTGAAATGATACAATCAAAGGTTTTTAGCTGCCTATGATTTGACAAAAACTAAACAAAAAAAAGCAAGTCTTCCTGGTGTGAATGCCTGGTTTTGTTTCATTTCACTACATTAGATACTATAGTTCTCATTTGAAATGCAATGGTTGGTTGTACTAATGCCAATGACCTTTTTTCAGGACAACTTTCAGCGAATTGAATTTTGTAGGCACACTGAAATTAGTCGTTTAGGATTTTTGATAGGAGTATGTTTCAGTGCCGGTGACTCCATCTCCTGGAGGAATGTATATGCCATCATTTGCCCATCAGATGATGCCTCCATATGCACCACAGTTGGCAGCTACTACACCTACTGCCAATGCTGCGGCTTCACCACAACAGCAGCAACAGCAACTGAACAAGATCCCTCAGCAGCATCTGAAAGCATCTGATGGTTTGTGAAGTATAGCTCATGGTTACTGGTATTAGTAAATATTTGTATATTTTACAGATGTCGCAGCATCAAGCGGGGTATTGTCTGCCGCAAAAGCAATGCAGTCGCCTGCAGCACAGAATCTTCAACGGCAATTCGGCATGCAAATGATGCCTTCTGGTACAGGTGAGCAGCAGACGGCGTGTACGTTGCAACGTCTTCAAAATGCTGGTAGTAATATTGAACGATAGGTGTTGAATGGTAGAAATTCCTATGCTTAAGGCGCTTAGAAGAGCTTTTAGGCCAACACCAAGCTGCTATGATGCAAGCAGCTGCTGCCCAAGCTCAGATGGCTCAAATGCATCATCTCTACATGCAACAGATGGCTGCAGGTGCAAGAGGAGCACAATATCCGGTATAATTAAAATTCTTTTGTCGTTTTTACCTCTGCTTTTTGACGAAAAGCAGACATTATTGCTTTTCTTGTAGTTGGCTGGTACTTCAGCAGGAGCTCATGAGATGGCACAGCTGGTTGCTCTACAAGGTGAGTGCGAATTACTGCATAAGAGAACTATCCCTTTTCAAATTTAGTCAACCATTTGGGATGTAATTAGAAATAATGAATCGATTAGACAACTTCTTTTTCTTGCTTCATCTTCTTATTCCTGGTACTATTATTCCTAGAGCAAGATTTTGGGGGTGTTCATATGATCACAGAAAGACTGCTTGTCAACACTAGAAAAAACCTCCTTATACCGAGCAACTATTCATATACAGGGGTGCATGAAGATTCAGTTCTCCCGCTTCATTTTCACTTAGGTGCAGTTAAGTATACTTTCTTGGAACCCTATTCGTTATTTCGAATGGGTCCTGTGCTTTGGGCGCCTAAGTTATGGCATTTATAGAGGTTTTTAGAGGGCACAACTTGAGGTTTTTGAGGGTAAATTCCGTTGAGCAATCTTTACCTCATCTCTCAAGCAGAATAGGAACGGCAACTTCAATAGAAGTTTTTTTACTTGTCCAGGCTGAGTGGGAAATACATAACTAGAGTTAGTCACGCGCGTTGATATCGCTCAAGTGCCCCCCGACCTTCAGTGTCTTCAGAAGTCTTCCGCATTAATCTCGTCAACTTTTAAACCAGGTTTGGAAAATTCCTCACCTGTTCCTTCCCCTCACTTCGCTATTTCCGCTGTTCACAGCCAATTCGCTGGACTTAACGTTTGGCCAATTCACTCAATTAGCGCAGTATGGTAAAAGAAATATGTTCTGCGCACGGCTTATGCGAATTCCACGTCACAGATCGAAAACCGTTCTTGCATGAGATTTTAGATTGGGGGTGATATCCCAATTCTCTTTAAAAAGCATAGATTTGACAAATATTATGTTAGTGTGGCTTGTTGAGAGATCCGGTGTCGTTGGTTCGGCAAGCTGGGTCTTTATGAAATAGTTGGTGTGACGATTCTACTCGCGTTTGCTTAGTTGGAGCAGTAGTGATTCTTTTGTTCAGAAGTTTTGCGCCGTTGTGTTTCAACCAATTACTTCCCATAGTATCACCGTAATGCTTTGTGTTCGGGCATGGGCTGGTTGGGCTTGATAAGAACTCGTTGAACATTCGTTTGTTTGCCAATCAAGAGTTCCCACCAGTTATAAGTAACCCACATAAATCATGTCTTAATAAAAATGGTAGTGGCGATTTTCTGTCCTAGACTCCCCTCTCCTCTGATCCGTCTAGATGTAGACGTCAAAGGACAGAGAAAAGGCTGCGCGTCATTTGCTCCCGTAAAAAAAGTGCTGCTATCGAGTTTTTAAGGGAATAAATCATGTCGAATGAAATCGGCAACAAATATTTATATCGAAATCTTTAATCTTTTCATCCTACCTTCTGTATTACAGCTCTTCAACAGCAGCAGCAGAATCATTTTGCAAGTATGTTCCAGCAAAAGTGAGATCGATTTACTGTGATATCTAAGCGCTTACATTTTATTATGTACTTGTATCGCCTATTGTCTTTTGCCGTCGCTTTTGTGTGCTTGTTGTTGAAGCGGCCTCAGCGTGCACACAAATTTGGCATTCACTTGCTCATCTTTGTGACCTTGCTCCTGCCCCCTTTGTGTACCTTTTGTTATGTTGCCAAGAGAGTTTCGTGGCACTTTGTTAAGTCTTACTGTTTGCTTGTACGTGTCACGTTCGTCGTCATCGTGCCATACGAGGCGACTCGATTTCATTTTATGTTTTTTTTATCACGTTTGGTTTTTTATTACGAATGCAGCTCTATACTTGTAATTGATCCGGGATTGTTGAATGTTTCACTATTGTCACCCGTCGATTTGCAGCAATTTGCTCCTGTTCTTACTCACCCGTTTAAACTCTAATCGTACTAATATCGCTTGAAAATTTTGCGTTCTTTTTTCTTGTTTATTAATAGCCCTATTGCTTGATATCGTCGCTAATCCACAACACCCGAGTTAGTACAATTGTTTCACGTGTGTTTCGTATGGTTGTACATTAGTTCCCGGCACGCGCACGCCCTTGTGTGGGAAGGCGATATATCCGCCTCATCTCGTTCCTTTCAATTTCTTCGCATTTCTTTCGTCCATGTTCAGTATATTTCAATAACATCGGGCATGTCAGATAATTCGTTCATTCAATCAATCGCCCCCGTTCATTCTCACATTAAAGCTGTTTCATGTATTTAATTTATAAAACTTTATTAAGATATGCATTGACAAAAATAAAGTGTGCAAATTAGTACATATGTATATCACATAGAAAAGGGAAGAGAAAAATTTGCTAATCTGGGGGGTAAAAACGAAACGAAATTTGGCACAAACGTCAGAGACTCACACGGTAATTTATAAAACTTTATATAAAATAATAGAATCTGTGTAGTTATCTCACGACAATAAACATACGCAGTATAGCGCCTCTGGTACGCGTGCGGTCGCGATGCGTCAGGAGGAAGTGCTAATCCAACTGATACACAACGTGCATGGAAGTCATTATTTCTGAAGTTTCTTCTCATACTGGACGTATCGCGACCGCACGCGACCTTAGAGGTGCTAAATCAATTTTGCAAATGCTAAACTGAATCATTTACCACCAGGTATGAATAGGAGTGCTATGTATAGGGGAAATCACAAAAAAAAACCGTGCCAGCTATTATAGCCTGTTGGGCCGTAGCTCTGCCCCTGGAGCTCATTGGCGGTGAACAGTTATTGATTGACTCTCGAACTTCTCACGACAAATCAATACCTTTTTGGGGATGGGTGGATGAGGCATAGCTACGATTCCCAAGAACAAGCCGTAAAAGCGGCACAGTTCATCGAATTGGCTACGGTCCTATGGTCAAAAATGACCTACAACCTGAAACCACGTGTTGTCAGTCGACACATGTGAAAATGAGGGGGGCTCCTAAACCTACGATGGCCCCCGCGATTAGACTAGGGAACACGATTTGGGAGATTACTTTACGATGTGCAAACGACATATTTATGTAGGCCTATCGACATTTCTAATACCGATAAGGTCCACGATCGTAACTATGGGCCATGTCTAGATCATCGTATTCATCGAACCCGTGTCGATCCATGGAGGTAGGACCGATCCTGCCCGGTCCACCTGCCATTGATCCTCCTCGTTGAGCCATCATTCCAGGAGGTCCTGGCATACTTCGTTGCGCCATTCCTACAGGTGGCATCATCGGTGAACCGCCTCCAGCAGGTGACGATTGATACATCGGCATGGGGCCGGACTGTAAAATTCGTAAAATTTTCTTTAAGGCACCTTAACGGTTATCAAATACCTGAATATTGATCGACGGCACCGGTTGTTGCCTTCCAGGCATTGGTTGAGCAGGTGGGGTCAGATACGGTGCAGGAGGAGGTGCACCCATCATAGGAGGTCCGAGTTGTGTTGCTGATGGTTGTTTCTGAAGTCCCATTGGTCCACCGCCTCCACCACTGCCCATCATTCCTCCGCCTCCCATTCCGGTTCCCTGGAATGATGTAATTGAGGGCAATTACTGCAACAATCACCTAAACTCCCACATACCTGCATCATTTGAGCAGCAGTGAAAATCTGTGTGGGACCTCGATTTTCCATCGGATTTCGTTTTATTCTTGGTGGACTTCGGACTGGTGGATGTGTTGCTCGCCAATAGGCTTCCAAAAAATCGGCAAGGTGCTCACATGCATCTTCTAGTTGATTCTCGTCCAAAAGTACATCGAACAGTTCCTGGAAATGTTTAGGAAGGAATGAATAGTTTCCGAATCGTACTGGAGGTCACGCAGGATGAGTTCTCAAGGTCTATTACTCGGAAGAGGAAGTAGGTGAAAAAACGAACCGGTGGGCACTGTGCCAGTTTCTCGGCGGCTACCATTTGCACATTCATATTACGTGATTGTGACTTGTTTCTCGATTTAATGAGACGTTGTAAGACCTTAAAAGCAAATAAAATAATAAGAGGTGCAGCACGTTCACCGCGCGGCAAGTGGACAGAGACGCAGAGGCATCACTGGCTAGTTGTCTCCCCTACCGCTGGTGGTCTGCTCATTGGCTCTTCAGCCTGTGCAGGTATACAGCCAAAGTTGGACATTGCCCAAACTCAACAATTTCTTCGAAATTTCGAAGCCTTTTGCGATGCTTCCGCTTCTTTGTCCCCTAGCCGCCCTGCCTTCTTGGGGCTCCTGTCCTATTCCCAAGAGTTTGACACGGGACATGTCATGATATCCTTTTTATTATTTCAAAGTGTGTAAGACGTTTGAAAAAGAAACGAGTTGCCTGACCTTCGGTGAACTGATTTTTATATACACATGGATGGGTGCGAGACTGGTTTTGGCCAATTGACTTGGGTGATTAATGGTGTCACAGTCGAGAATGACGAGCTGCATCGAACGAGCCAACTCAAAGATACGCTCAATTTCCGTTTGAATCTCGGCTGAAATGGGAAATCATTGAACAGATGAACTATGGTCATGTTTAGACCCAAGTGGGTGTACTTAAGGTCACGCGTTTTCGGCTCATCAGGAGTGGCCAATTTTCACGACAGGGGGAACGAATGTCAAGTGGGTGAGGGATGTGGGAAGAAAACCATTTAGATAGACCCCCTCAAAATTTCAGAGGTATTTTCTAGGACATAGCTAAAGGACAGCCCTTCCTTTGCTATGGCGGTTGAGGCGGTTATGTAACATCGACGTGACATACGTTCTTCGACCGGTGACGGTCAACGCGGGCGGCTGTAGCCCAGAATAAACGGATCGCAAACCTACCGAGACTGTTGCTGGTCCTAGAATTTGCACGCTCCATCAATGCCCTCTTGTTAGGATTATTCAGCAGTGATCTCTTCGCCAACGATATATCAGCCGTCACTCGTGTGATGATTATTCTGAAGAAGGAGGTGACTGAGCCTAACTCCGAGGTAAATTCCACAAATCGGATTGGCTGCTTTCAAAAATCGGATTGGCTGCTTTCACAAATCGGATTGGCTGCTTTCATAGTCCGCGACTTGGCCCGCGAGCAAGCGTATACTCGTCCGGCGGCTCAATCAAGATTCACTTGTACACAAGGGGTAGGCGCCGCCCCCGTCGCTCGCTCGCTCGCGCGCTCGCCGGCCAAATCGCGGACTATGAAAGCAGCAATTAGGAATCCTCTATGGAGGGACTGAACTGTTTGAAGAGCTCTTTGTGAAAGCATTTCCACCTACCTGCCCTCGAATCGATGTTTAAGATAATCGAATACAGCTTTCTGCATCATATCAGTAACTTCGTAGCCTTTTAGGCTTGGACCAACTAAGACAACCGGTCGCATCGATGGTACAACATCGTATGGCGGCAGATTCTCTTGCTGAAAAGTCTCCCTTGGTATTCTATCGAAGCAGCACACATACAAAGAATACGTATTGATCGTGTGGGGTCCACGAGCCTGATCAATATGCACCTTTTGTGCTGCGTTAAGGTCCGGGGACACCTCACCTTTTTGAATATCAGCTTCTTTTTCTCTTTAGTGGGTGGCGTCGTAACAATATTCGTTATTTTCCTAGTACTGTAGTCGTCATCTTCTGTAAATAAACAAATTATCTGTCTAATACAGTAATGTACAGAGTACGTAATGAGGAGTTACGCCCACCACCTGGCGTAGGTGGAGTTGACCCTCTGGATTCGCTACGTGGCATCATATTGTCCAAAGCACCGAGATTCGTTGTTGACGTTGATTGTTTACTTAAACAAGATCGTTAGTAAACGGTAAACAACTAGTGTTTATTAAATCAATCAAAAGGAATGTGGTCCTGTGAGGAAGACACGGCTCACAATTTTCCAGCTTTTGCAGTTTGTTGCCGAAGTGATTCCAGTTTGACAGGCGATGGAATAAATCCAAGATCATGGCCTTCTTTTACTAATCGACCAATCCACCAATCGTTGTTATATTTCTAAACAGTGAAAGATCGATAATTAAAATTATATGGTACGGTACTGGTAAAAATTAGATTAATAATAAAATAAAAAAGTAGAACAGTAAAAGGAAAATGATTCTGAGAATTATGGTTGTTAGCTACAGATCACAAAAATCAACCACGGCTTTTCTACCGTACCTCTTTAATATGCAAGAAATCCTTGACTTTAAAGGACACAGCACATCCATGTACAGGTGAATCGTCATCAAGCGAACCATCGTATTCGACATTGGTACAGACAGCAAATGCTACCGGTTTATACTGAAAGGGTAGATTTTTGAATAGAACAGCTTAACAAAACAATTGAAAAAATTATCAATCAAAATAAAAAAAATTGATGGAAATGATAAAAGGAAGGAAATGAAGCTCGATTTTTGGAAAGAAATCTTCAAGAAATTCATTGGCTGCTTTCATGGTCCACGATTTGGCCCGCGAGCTAGCGGCCGACCGACCGACCGATCGATAGAGCGAGCGAGTGAGCGATTGGGACTACTCGTCCTGCGGTATCAACCACGATTCAGTTGTGATCAAGGGGCAAGCGCCGCCCCCGGTCGCTCGGTCGCTCGCTCGATTGGTCGGTCGGTCGCTCGCGTGCAAAATCGTGGACTATGAAAGCAGCCATTCGCGAGCTATTGAGAAAGGCTACGCGTTCCGGTGTTACAGTAACAGCCACCTTGTCAAAGTCAAGGAAAAAAAGCAGATCACCGATCCTTGTCTTCTTTACAACCTCCTATACGAGCTTCCTATATGAATGAATTGCCCGTTGTTGCTACTCTCGCGTCACAGTCCTCCTCCCAGCTTATTAAATTTGAAATTCTTCTTGATCCATCTATAGAAACCGGTATGAGAAATAACCTACACATTTGGTAACAGTACTAGGAGCTCTACAGAGTCATGTACAACCTGTATAGGAAACTTCAAAAAATTTTTTATTTTGATCTTCACTTTTCCTCACACTGTATGTGATAGCCCACGTTGATCTACCCCATCGATGCCGTCGGTCCCTCGATTTGGGCGACGTTGGGCACCCTGTCTGCGCCCTCTTCATTACGCGTAGTGTCTGATTTTTTTGTCAGTCCCTCGATTTCGATATGGCCATGGGTTTTTCTTTAGCCATCATCCCATACCGGAGATCATCAGTTCATTCGACATGCAGTCCAAGAGATGATCTGAAGATCAAGAACAAAACAACTCTGAGATTTCGACTACAACTTCTATGGCAGTAGATAGAGCTTCTGACGTTGGTCTCAACTAAACAGATTGCCTGGCAAAATGCCAATTTCGAAAGCAGTAACTCCAAGAAAAGAGAAGCACTTCTATCCGAATACGGCAGGAAAACTCAAGATAGGAATGGTTGCATGACCGATGCTAACAAATAGCCTGGAAATTGAGCACCAACTCAAGCAATCGATCAATCGATCGACCGAACTGAACGAATGTAAAAAGGAAGTATTACCGTGAAACTAGGGTAAAAACACAATACAATATGAAATGTGATTTTTTCATAAAAATTAGGAAGCAGATTTATAAATACTTGTAATCTTCCAAAAAATTCAACAAATTTTTGTTCGAGACGAATTTCTCCGCGGGAAACTTCAATCTATGAATCTGAGCAGATGTCGAGAGCTTGGCGTACACCAGAGCCATGAGAGTTGCCCAGTAAATAATAAAAACCACCCCGAATATACACATTTGCGAATTTCTAGACCAGTTATTTACCTTATTATTTATCACTTATTTATTTTACTACTTCATTTGTGGAAAACATAATGCTTTGGACTTTATAATATATTACCTATTTTTACTATTATCTATTATTTATTTATTATTTTATTATTTACTTCTTTATTTCAGCTTCACTTCAAAAATTAATTTTCAAAATTTGATTCATTTTTGCGATTTCATTTCCATATTAAAGACCCCCCTATCGTTTGACGACGCTAGTCGTCAGAACCCTTCGCATCACACCGTCCGTCACCATGGAACTCATAAATTCGCTAAAGAGATTTTATGAAAAAGCACTTTCAACTAAGCCTCTTTGAGCGCAGAAGCCAGCAGCTGCTTCAATGAATTTCTCGAAATTACGGCAGTTTTTTATTGCACGTAAAGACTACCCCGAATCCCCCTGAATCATTGAAGCAGACATGCACTTTGAGTAGAAAATTTAATTGAATTCGGAAATTAGTGTGAGAGAAAATGGACGGACACAAAAGAGAGCGATAATAAATCGTATTAGTAGCAGATTGACCAGAACGAACATAAATTTTTCGTCTCCTGTCTAAACACTGGGCGAATTTCAGGAACTGGTTAGAACTGACGTGAGGAGTTTTACTTGAAGAAATGAAAGGCAGTCGACTTATTCCTTCCCGGGTTAGGCCACGCCTTCGCATTCCTTATAGGATTGCGTTGGCGCTCGATAATGAATGCTTCCCACACAATGAACACCGAGGTACAGCAGATGGGCAAGTCAGGGTTTCCACCCTCTCAAATCATTCTGGTGCTGTACGAGATTAATAGCAGAGGACTTGAGACTGGATTGACAACGGTGAGCGCCCAGGACGATCCCTATGCTAAGCGGCACTTGGCACTCCACCTCGACCTTCCCGTAAACGAAATGTTCGAGAAACCAGACGGCTGATTAGAGTGTTAACCACTACCTTTCAAATCCTCGATCAATCCTCTTCTGAAATCGGAGAAAAAACGGCTGCCATTGGAAGACCCCGAGGAAAGCTTGGTCATGCTGCATGAATCCATCGAAACGACTCCAAGCCTAAGCCATTTCTAGTGGCAATTTCAAACAAATTAGAAATGCTTCAACAAACACGCCCGATGGCATCCATCAAATGGGATATGGCACTATTCCAAGATGAAGATTGAAATGAAGAAAAAACATCAAAAACCGCTTGAGTCTGCCGAATTTCCCGAAATCACACCAATGCTATGAAAGTTGCTTTCAGCATTGGACGGGTTGGACGAGTTACATGATATGGGTGAGAGGGAACAAAGAAGACCGATGTTTGGATTATATTCTTTAAGACGANGGCATCCATCAAATGGGATATGGCACTATTCCAAGATGAAGATTGAAATAAAGAAAAAACATCAAAAACCGCATGAGTCTGCCGAAATCTCCCGAAATCACACCAATGCTATAAAAGTTGCTTTCAGCATTGGACGAGTTGGACGAGTTACATGATATGGGTGAGAGGGAACAAAGAAGACCGATGTTTGGATTATATTCTTTAAGACGACGAACGTAGACCATAAAAGAGCGGTACTTAAGTAAAGAGGTGTCAGGACCTGACCAATGTAACCACTGCTAACCCTTCCAGTCTTCAAAAGGGATCAATTTCGTGCATAAGATGAGCCTTTTACCATGGCTTCACGACCGACTCACTCATAGTGGAATTCTTATGTAAATGGTTTTATTTTAAATACAATTTGCCAGGGTACATAAACATCCCCTGAATCTAGGATCTCACAACTGGCTTTGGGAGTCGACCACTACTATGACCGCTACTGCGAGCCACTTTAACTAAAATCCTTAGGGAATCGAACTCACGACGTATCCCAGAAGAATTTGCCCATAGTCTCTGAGATGCCTGATCGTTTGTTTATTCTTTATTTTCTAGCCGCATTTTTTTCTTTGCTTTCCCTTGAAGGGACTTAACTTACAGCCATTAAGAGTACTCCAGTGTGGGTGCATGTGTGTTTGTGGGGCACCAATCTCATTCCGCTTGTTTGAGCACAATTGGTCCTTGGGAGTGCCGGCCACTACCACCATCAGAAATCTGGGCGCAACGCATTTGGGAGGCGATAAAGAGCTGTCAGTTGAACACAATGTTTCGGATGTGGAAAAAACTCGGCGCGGGGAATAGCGCTTGATTTCGGGATACGTCGAGCCTCAGGCCAATTATCGGACATCAGCACTCGGCAAGAAGCACACACCACACATACGCACCCACCCTCATCGATGCCATCTCCCGCGAATAGTCGCCATTTGAGCGTGTCTTTCACTTGACACACCCTTCACAATGAGCAGGAGTACACCACGGACTCGGGAGACCACTAGACAAACTCTGCTTTTGATCCAAGATCTGGCAAACTACTACAGCCCAATCGTACCCATCCCATTCAGGGTTGAAGTGGTTGTTAAAAATGGATAAACGGGAGTGTTTGTCGAAGATATTCCCATGAGATCAACTACGACTGCAGTGTTTTCTCTTGGCTGCAATACTCGAGGAAAAAACTCCATCGTAATAAAAAAGGGAAAGAAGATAGCCGCTTCGCATCCCCATGACATCAGTCTCACAGCATGTCCGGCCAGAAAAACCCTAAAGTAAGAAATGGCGAATTTTGAAAAAAAANAAAAAAAAATGAAAAAATCGATCGACACTATTTGGACACCCCCGTGTTATCGTGAGTAAAGCAAGAAACGTCCTTATTAGCCCAATCAAGAAGTGAGGGCTAAGTGCGAGCACGAACTCTCACGAGTGTGATCCTTTCAGTCGCGTGTGGCAGAAGAAGTTACGACAGAAAGGGTACTCGTGGTAAGTGCCAAGCAAATTAGCCATTTGTCACGAGCAAAGTATTCGCATTCTGACCTAATAGTGCACATCCGACAAATAAAGACGAACTACTCATTATAGTCGCCTAGCATCGTCCTTCTTCTGAGTGTCCTCTTTACTGCACGCATAGAAAGCTGTCAACATAAGTTTTTGATGATTCTAACGGAAATTGAGCTCGCATCAATCCAGTCAGAAAGACTTTCCTCAAGGAATCATGAACAGATTGGGCTGAGCTAGCTCAGAGCTTGAAGGCACAGTTCCTGGGTTTCGGTAGGTTACATGTCGAAAGCGTCAATGAAGAACAGTTCGTTGATGAAGAAGAGCCGTAGAAAATTCCCAGGTAACCCTATATGTAGGGGTTTTTTTTNTTTTTTTTGAAAAAAACTATTCCTAAGCTCGGATGAGGTCACGATGACAAAGGAGATGTTTGGACGAGATTTTGGTGGCTCAAGAGCCACGAGTATTGCTTATTGACCCGTAACCTTATGCATCAGCTGACTGCATTCACAACAAACGTGCTCCATTTCGAATGACATCAACCTCTACAGAGCCGTGAAACACGTCCTTCCATGGGACTTTTGAGGGCGCTGGGGATTGAGACTGATTTTGAAGTCCTTTCTGCGCCCAATTTAGGTCATTTTTCGTCTGAAGGAACTCCATATAGCCTTTTTCATGATAATGCCCAAAATATTCTCTAGAATTGTGCCTTCAAGCTCATCCTTTCACTAAAATTTTGAACAATCGTACAGAAACAAGGGGTCCTCATTTGAACTTCTAGTCGCGGTCATGGTTCTTCCTCGATTTCCGTAGTTCAAAACTAGAGTAAGACGAAGTTCGGAAACTTAGAAGAATAGGTGCTGTCATAGTTTTTCCTTCGAGACGTGAATTCCTTTGTTCAAGATGAGCATAAAAAGAGCGGCGAAAAACCGTTGCCTGACGTAAATGTCACATCGAGAATGACATTTCCCCAGAAAAAAGTTCCTCTGAGATTTCTGTGACAGCATTCAGCAATTTCAGGAAGAAATCGCGAATTGTAGAAGTTATATAAGGAGCCTGTGAAACTATCAAAATTAGGCATGGGAACGGTAGCGCATTGGTTGACGATACCGATAAACGAAGATTGGAAGTTTGAATACCGTCGAAGGCAGCCAAGTAGTTCATCTCATGAGGTCGGTAGCAAAGTCTCAACAGACCCATTTCAGGATGAAAGCTGTGAGTGACTGTGAATGATTCAAAGTTGTTGGAAATTGTTGAAGCAACCTTCTCCCTATGCATCTATTCAGCGTTTTCTTTGAAGATTATTCAAACTGGACTGGAAGTTTGGGAGGTATGTCGAAGTTCTACGAGGATCATAAATATTTCCCTTATCGATTCCCAAAGTCCCATTGCTACAGCGAAACGGATGGACCGGCAAAAGATTAGTGACTGTGCACAGTGAGGAGGGAGCAGACGAGGAGAGTAAGCGTGGGCGATATCGACGGGTGGATTATCGATCTGTCTCATCGAGAGTGGGAGAGTGAAGATCATAGCAGAATTCACATCGTTTCCCATATAAAATGTTTCTTCATAAAAAATTCTATGCTGATTAGAAACCTACGCTTGACGTTCCAAATCGCTAAGTATGAACGGAGCAAGTGAAGTAACTTTGCAGACACCAAACAGTTTGGAATGAAGCCCTAATAGTTGGCTTAAGCAAAAAGAACTCGAGTCAAAGAACTTCACAAGAGACCACATATTTGGATGGTACATGAACTTTTGTGAATGGCAATGAGAACCAAGTCGGATCGAAGAAGTGCATCGACATTTCTGAAGGTCTTAAAGCCCCCGTCATCATTTTTGTTGGATTCTTATAGGCTTTCTCACAAAAAATTTCTCTTCTCAAATTTGAGGGTTTCATAGGGCAATTTTTGCGCCTCAGGGGCCCATCAGGGGCGTATTGAACTTCTTTGGTGTCAGAATGGGCAGCTACAAAAGGTGTGCACGTTCCCCATGGTTCAGGAAAGCTCTGATTAAGTTTCATCAAATGTTTTCGATTAAGTATGGGTAATTGAATAAAAGATTAGAATAAACAATTAAAAGAGTAAAATAAATCAAATAAATGTAATAAAAGCTGCAAAGTAGTGCACTGAGCTCCTATGAGCCTAGAATTCCCAGAATACATATATGTATAGCCGTTGTATATGTATCATAGCGAAAAGCTTTCCCTTTTGAGACTCAGCCCGTTCGATTCTCAATCTCTTGGAAGACACTTCCGAACGCCCAATAATTCATTAACCCTTTTTTTCTAGTATGACAGACTAAAGTGTAATCGATATGCAAGGAAATGCATGGGAAATAAGTCAATAAGCAGACTCGGGAATGCGAAGGCACTAAAAATCGAAGAAAATTGGTTTTTCATGCCCTACGAAAAAATTATTCAATAGGACTGATCGATAAAATGAAAAAAAAAGAAAAATAGAATGAATTACATAATAAAAAAGAAATCGTTTAATGGAAATGGGTGAAAAGACCGACTTTTGCTCGTTCCAATTGAAGTGCCGCTTGTCGTTCGGCATCTCGTCGTAATGTTTCACGATTACCGGCTTCAAGATCAAGATCCTCTTCACGATGACTAAAGTTCGAGTCGCCACTGCCCTAAATCAACATTCATTTCTCCTCTGAACAGTATTACAATAAATGTACTTAAAAGAGCAATTTTCTAGAAGCCAAAAATCCTAAGTTCTGCATTTATAAGGGAAATTTTCCAAAATGTTCAAAAAAATCCCTGAAATTTTTGCAAAGCCAATTTTCTGACAAGAGACAGTCGTTAGTGGTTTGTGAGGGGAATCTTTCAAATGTGGAGAAAAAATGGTTACCATTAATCAGTAAGCAACTCGAAACTTCCTTCCAAAGAATTTCTAGAGTGCACAGAGGACTGAAGACGCGATGGAATAGTTTCTGAGATTCCTCCATACGATAAGCCTGGGGCCTCTAAGAATAAGGGGCACAAAAACGACCTTGACGGGGCAATATAGAGGCTCCAAAACCGGCTTGACCGACGTTCACACCCAAAAGTGGCCGTGTTATGACAGCCTTATTAAGGCCGTACCATTCAGAATGAAGTGTTAGGACGACGACAAACAGTAGGCATACATGGGAATCACCCAGACGGTTACAGACACACTTTTGTAAAATCCCTTTCTTACTACTTGTTTTGATGATTTGCAATCCTTAAAATCCGGTGATTCTTGTACTTCCGTTGCCATTTTGATTATTGTGCACCATTCCATAGCTTCCGTTCTTTCACAATAGACACCTCAAAATTATTGTGAACTGAGCTCCTCAGAAAACTGATGACCATTATCGAATGACAGTTTCCTTGTCTTAATGTAGAGTGTAACAACGCGCAAAGGTGAGCACTTTTTCTTGTGAATCCACCTCTTTCAGAGCAATAATAACGATTTTATACAATAATAATATTTTGTAATATGATAATAACGAGTAATATGAGAGTTAATTGCCAAGGAATTGCCCTCATAAAACATAAAAAAGCTAGACTTGTGCGTGCAGCATTTTCACAGCTAAACTACTTGCACGAATTCTATCAACTCTAAAGTCGTTAAGTAAAAATTGACATTTTTGAGTTTTTTAAAATTTTAATTAATTTGCCTCTAACAAGATCGATTTCTTGGGCATCCTGTTATAAATTATGACACTCAGAAATGACAAAATTAGACATCCCCCATACCCGGCCATCTATTATCATCAACTAGGCCATAATTATTTATTACCATGAAAATAAGCTTTTGGGGCCCACTGAAACCAGAAACCCCGCAAGTTTCCTATCATATATCATCCTTTAATCAGTAGTATAATCATATAAATGATAATATATGGCACAGATGATTATAAATAATAATAATTATGAATAATGGGACTCCACTTATTTTACCATAGAAAGTTGCCGAAGTGTCATAAAATACAAGGTCATGGTTTTAATTTTAAGGACTACGAAGTTCCGCTTCAATCACCGACATGACAAGGACTATGAGTCTCAACATTCATTTTGAAGAAAGAATAAGCTTATAAAGCTTTAAGAATCATCAGAGGCTTTTCTAATTGGATGGTCCTCCTTAAATAAGATTTATATTTCAGGGATTTAAAATTAGTTTACAAATTTATTTCACGAAATAACAGCTTTTTTAAAAGCAAAGTTTCGTTTCAAAAGCAGCTTCATGAACTAAAAATGATTTTATAAGTGGGGTAAGTTTTGACTTTGGTCGCCATACCAAAACTGGTTCCATATCTTCAAAATCTCAAGCTTTTCTTTGCTCTATTTTTCTACCATTACGGAATGATGGTATGAATTTAATAACAATAATAATGCTTTATCATATTACAGATTCCATGGATTTCAAGAAGTTTTCTGTGATTCTCCGAAGTCATTCCATAATCTCGTAACTAAGGTAACCATCAATTTGAGGTCGGATCAAACCCTTTAAAGATGAGGTCTTCAATCGTACGTGCCCTTTTCATTTGGTGATCCCACTCTCGAAAGGTCTCAAATCATTAATCATCGAATCCTGTCCAGATGGTCCAATCAATTTGCTACAATATACTTATTTTTTCTATTTATATGCTGGCATAATTTTATTCTATTCTCTCCATTACCCCTTGAAGATTTCCCTAGTCTCCAACTCCCAAGCATTGGCATGTCAGAGGGGAAAACAGCCTAACACGACCACATAAGGACGAATTAAGGGATCAATTTTTCGCCGTGATTATCATTGACAGCCAAATTGGCCCCATTCAGTCCCATTTCTTGGGATATCCTTCAGAACTTCTATAGCCTCTGGGCGTTCTGAATCGAAACTTCGCAACTTCTAATCACCACATCAGAGGATGGGGCAAGACTAATGAACCTAGGCATTCATGACTGCCACGGGAACAGCTGTACATTCTTTTCAGACGGTAAAAAGTGGATGTGAGGTGCTTAAAAAACTTCACTCCGGAAAACATCAAGACATTGGAGGGACACCTGCACGTTTCTTTGACGAACACACGTCGGTTTCTCCGAAAATCTCTTCAGGCAGCCATCTGTAGCTTTTGGAGAAGGGGGAGATTCGCGGTTCCCTTATCCTTACTTACTTCATTTATTCTGGTTTTTCAAGACATTGGAGGGACACCTGCACGTTTCTTTGACGAACACACGTCGATTTCTCCGAAAATCTCTTCGGACAGCCATCTGTAGCTTTTGAAGAAGAGGGAGATTCGCGGTTCCCTTATCCTTACTTACTTCATTTATTCTGGTTTTTATTAAACGAATTTAGTTGCCCGTAATCAACCTTTATCTATGTATTTCGCTTTTTTATTTCATTATCACTTCCCTGATTTTTCATTTAAAAATCCCTCTAGAAAGTTTTTTTTCTGCAAAATTCTTCCAGTTTTCTTGGATTTTTTAGGGACAAGCTTTTCGCAAAAGACAATCGATCGGGCGTACAGAAGAGCAATTCCTTGAACACCCGGATGGATTCGGTATAAAGTGACACCTGGTAGCTTTTCCTGGTGGGACCACATTCAGGTGTTTGGCGGTATAATGAAGTGGGCCGGTCAAAAAGTCAAGTTCTAAAGACAAAAAGGACAGCGCTCAAATCAGGCCCCTTCAGGTGCCCTATCCTGGTCCTGATAAGCCTCTTTCCCGGGGAAAACGTGAAAATCCATCTCAAAATGATCTCCCGAAGCCTCGGACAAGCTCTAAAGTTTGTTCTTGTCAAAAATAAATCCTGATATTTCTAGCTAACGGACAAGTCAATGGCATATCTCAATCAGATGATAAGATATGCAAGTACTAAGCAGTTGTTCAGATTATACATAACAACCAAACTGGCCACGAACGGTCAGCTGTTCCATCGCCAGTGATCGACAATGAAAGAAAAAGAACGGCAAAAACAAACCAGTAATAACAGAGACTAAAGTTGGAAGAAAAAGAGAAAGTTTGGAGGAAAACAAAAATCAAAACAAACCCTTCGACCGCGATGAGCGAAGCCGGCCATGGCAGGCCGCTCGTGGGCGAACTGAAATTTAACGAAAATCAAAAATTCAAATTCAAATGAAACGACGACAATGTCGACGACAAGACTTTCGGACGACTTGGGAAGCGATAAAATGGAAACAAGGCAAAATAAATCGAAGAAAACGGTCCAGGACTGTCGGATGGTGATGAACGGAAAGCTGTCAACTTTGAAATCGTACAGATTCTCCTTGACATCAATTATAAAGCTCGGGAACTAAGTTAATCCTCAGGCAGTTGCTGGCAGAAAGCCAAAACTACAGTATGAAAAATGCGGGGAAAAAAGAAAGAAAAATGGATAAAAAAGTTCCGAGCGAAACCGCCAGTTTCACAACTCATTAGAAGCCTGTTGGACGGAGTGAAGATGATTGCGTCAAAGGTCAAGCACGACGATTTGCTGAGAGCTAGCTGATCCAGCTCGGTATTGATTGTTTGTTGAGCACGAAGCTGAGGGGAACGAGATCGATGGAGTGGGCTGTGTGGTGGATGAGGCGGAGAGCAGCAAAAGGAGTAGCACGAGCAGCAGCAGAAGTAGCAGCTGGCTGGCTGGTGGCTGGCTGGTTGGCCGGCCGGTTGGCTTGCTGCCTGCCTGCCCTCCCATGGCTCCTGCTGCTGCTGCCGGTGCTGGAGCTGAAGAGGCGGCGGCGAGAGATCTTAGCGGCCGCCACGCGTCCGCTCGCAAGCCTCCCTGAGGACATCGACCCTCAATCAGGCTACACTCACGGCCCTCCCGAGGCCCGCCGACAAAAACCCTTCGGCCGTCACGAGCATCACCCGACGGAGCCAGCCGTTCGAGTCGAGGACAGCAGCCACAACGACAACGCCTTAACGTCGTGTTGTTGGAGACAGACAGCTGTCAGCAACCGGCAACAACCGACGTCACACGCAAGTAGTCCATCCGCCGCTATGCAGTTGTTGTTTATTGCGTCTTCATACATAACAGAATAAGCTTGAAGACACGCAACAATTGAGGACTTCGAGAGTAATGGACGCATGTGCGCTCAGGCGGACGCGACAGGAGCTGCGACATGATGTGCCGTTATTCAGTGACCTCGTTGGCTCGATGGGCCTTGAGGTTCTCCGGAGTATCCTCTTCCACTGCCTACGTTGAAGGATAAAGATTCGTAGCTTGCGCTACTGTTTAGACGTCCATTCAGAATTGCTGGGGCTTCAGAAGGGCAACTAAATAACCAAATCATTGCTTCTATCATTCGAGAAAAGCTTTTTCCTGGAAACGTGTTTCAGAGAGAACTAGAACTTTGCCAACGCCGCGTTTTCGACATCTCCCTGGGTTGATAAATGACTTCCAGAAACAACCATATGAAAGTTGATGCTCTCAAAAGTACGTTAGCCCTAACCATAAGTGATTTAGTTCGAGTGGGTAAAAGGCTTGGTGGAACCCGAGCAGGGCCCAAGAAGGATGTGACCCGTTGTTCATATGTGTGCTAGTTGGCAATACCTCATTCTACCGCCAAAGGAAATGGGAAGAAAATCACTAAATCGTTTATTACTGAAGTTTTGCAATTAAAAATTCTAAATTTCATTTTTGCAAAGTACAACCCCATCGATTCGTCCGAAGTCGGACATCTTCTTCCAACGAGAGCTTTTATTATCAATAAATGGTAGTATTTCCGTCCTTTATCCATTGCCATTCAAAATTTGATTTTGAAATGTAAAATTTGCCATTGCACTTTCGTATCCAAAAACCTCTCTGCCCGCTATCACAGTGTCGCTTTTGCAGTTTTTTACTTTTTTAGGTTTTTTAAAAACAGATCTGTATCCAAAAACTGGTGTAGTGGTGTAGTGGCAAGTGGCGCACTATCCTACACTCGGTCCGGGGCTCGCATCTTGTATCGACACTCGCTTATCAGACTCGGATGACTTACATTGACTGCTCACCGCATGTCTTCTATAGACCACCTACTAATTCGAACAGCCACGTGAATTCTTTGAGGAATTTGAAAGTAGGGCGCATCCCAAAAACAGTACTGATTATGCCAAAAACTGCATCCACTATCATCAGTTGGAGAGGAAATTTTAAAAAATGAAGAACTCCAGGTAATTTCGGGATTTTCACTTTTAGTCGTTTGGGACTCTTTCAGAATTTCTGAGACGATTTATCATCCGTAGTCAGATGGATTCAATTTGAGTTTATAGGCAATTACGATTCAGCCAAGCGAACCTTCTCTTCATTTTTCAGAAACCATGGAACTCCCTATAATTCAGGGATAATTGATGGTTTTTCAAGATATTATAGATGGAGTGATAAATATTTACATACTGATCGGTAAATTCAGAACTTAGTTAAGAGTTGTCAGTTCAGGGGAGTAGCAAGAAAATTCTCAGAGCGAGATGGATAGGATTCAAGGCTTCACTCGAGTTTGGTTGAATAAGTTTTCCACAATTTCCTCTTTTCCGAATAAATTTTGCCTTCAAAGTACGACATTTCTTTTCTATCAGAAAAGTCTCTGAAGATTTAGGAAGGGAACCAATTTATTCTTACAATCCATTTAGTGACACCACTCAAGAAATCAAACACCACGCTTGGTAGAGATTTCTCGTAGGCCTGGTCTGCCCTGAAATATTAATGGGACTCACACTTCTCCTGAATTTTTCATAACTTGCTCTCCAGGCATAAAAGAAAAGCGGAACTCTTCATTCTTCAACTTCCATACATCTCCGTTTCCATTCCTTTCCCGTATGGGAGAGGGGACATCTCCCAGGGAGTAGAGAGAGAGGGAGGTTGGTGGCAGTCAGGTGGCGGACGTAATCTGACAATCAGAAGTAGAGTAAACCCATAGGCGATGGCGAGGAGGATGAGATTCCGCCGACCCTAAAAACGCTAGATTTTCTACCTGCATTATAGGCTTTACTATTAATGGACGTACAGTAATTTCTCGAAAGTACAGTATACTCCACATTGACACCACGAGACCTGGTGCCATTGCACAAATTGGATACGCTATGGACGCATTCAATACGTCGATAGCGATAACGAATGACGTCATAGCAACAGCGAATATCGCTCCGGCAAGTATAGACGGAAGTGCTGCCTCGGCATTTATCCAAGGATTACTTCGCCTGAATCGGAGACTATCACTGTGAGTTATGAACCTCACTTTTCCTACTGGATTTCACCTAAAAAGTGAGTACAAAATGAAGATAAAGGCGGAAGCACACATAACACCACAGTAGAACGAAAACAAATACGGTGGGCTATCTGGTGTGGCGTATGCAAACTGTTCTTGATGGTTCTGAAAACAGGAACATTACCACATAGGGAAAGGACCCGGTGAGTGCAGCTGGGAACGTACCTTGATGTAATTCACGGGAATCCACATCGAACCGTAAAACAGACCGCAGATCAGTGCGGCTATGAAGCTCCTAAAACACTGTGTATTTTTAAAATCTTCTATGACCATAGTGAATTGGAAAGCATACTTTTAAAAGTATAAATGGACCAGTTTCCTTCGCGTACGGTACCGCGCGCGACTCTATGAGCGACAATTTTCATCTATTGCCTGTCACTTCATCAAAGTTCGAGTCCTGTTACGATATTTCTTCACTGCTAAACCTGCTCTGAACCTCCTCATAATTACCAGTCACCATGATCAATATTGATCAGTAACCAGTTGATGTTTAGACATTACTCCTTCGCGTTCCTTCCTTACTTGCCTTAAACCTGAGAAATTTGGACTTCGCGCGAGCAAAGTAAGTAAGCGGTCAGGCCTTTCGAATGCTGTGAAAAGGACGATGATACCTGGAGTTCCCGATACCCATAAGTGCAATCAGTCTTGAAATTCGAGCTCCGTAAAAAAACAAACATCAGGGAATCCATTGTTTACGTAAGAATCGAGGATCAGTTGGGCTGGACACATTATGCGACATTAGACCAGGGCGGTTACTAAATGGATCCTTCGGAACGTCGAACGAGCCCAAGGATGGCCATCAGCGGACCGGCCATACTCAGACTTCCTAACGGAAGTGCGTCGTGTTCCTCTAGCGAGGACGATCCAGTGGACTACATACTCTGGCTCAACATAGGGACGAATGGAAACGGGTCCGGGTGCTGCTCGGGCAAATCAATGATCAATGCCATGACAGCACGCCTGATGTAAGGAGGATTTTCAGACCTTACCTCAAAATAGGGCATTACCCTACACGAAAACTTCTTACGGGTAGTATACTCCTCTTGAAGGTGAAGTTTGGCCAAATGAAGCAGCTACAGGGAGCTCTCTTCCATTGGGATGAGCGAATTGTCAGCAGATTCGCCTGAGCCGCCAAAACCACAGTCCATCAGGGGTAATTCCGAATGAAGGCCATACGCATGGTGTACCGCAGGTTCTTCTACCCTTTGATTCCTAGTCAAAAAGTTAACTCTTGAACTTACCCCACTCTTTCCAGCAGGGAGATTTCATGGTGATCAATCTTTACTCCATTTTGAGCATAGAACGGATGGATCTGAATTCCGAATGAAGGCCATACGCATGGTGTACCGCAGGTTCTTCTACCCTTTGATTCCTAGTCAAAAAGTTAACTCTTGAACTTACCCCACTCTTTCCAGCAGGGAGATTTCATGGTGATCAATCTTTACTCCATTTTGAGCATAGAACGGATGGATCTGAACCGATCACACTTGAAAAACAGTCAAAATGTATGAAAAATGAAAATAAAAACAGAATCTCAGGAAGAGGTTTTTTCTAGTTGAATGCAAGTTACCTTTCCTTCTATTTCCACGTCTTTAGGAATATCGCATCTTCCTTTAGGATTACTTTTCACGAACATATACATTAAGCCGCTGAAAATAACCTTGCTTCATGATGAATTCTTCAAAGTTTGAGTAATCGAGGAAATATTGATGAGTGCTTTCTCCATGTGATGTTTACTAACATTAAAAAAATAAAAAAAATAATGAGGATAAATAATGAGGATTGATGAACAGTTCCCACAAGGAATTCCGCTCAGCCCTACTGTCCTTTATAACCCTCCCCCTCCAAAGTCCACTAACAGATTTGGGTAGGCTGGTTCGCTATATTAGGCACGGATTCAAATAATGAGGATTGATGAACAGTTCCCACAAGGAATTCCGCTCAGCCCTACTGTCCTTTATAACCCTCCCCCTCCAAAGTCCACTAACAGATTTGGGTAGGCTGGTTCGCTATATTAGGCACGGATTCTACGGAAAGATTCATCAAGAGACTTACAACCTCAGCAGTTATTAGTTTGAAAAGGCTTATCCAGATCTTGGCGGACTTCCTCGCTTTGAATTTAATGCAAAAAGTGCCTCCGAGAATGGAATTATTAGTAAAATTATTTATTATAGCCTTTCAATAAGTTGCGTTGAAGAGTGAAAAAATAGAACAAAAAACGGAAAAAAACGCCTCACCCAGCAATCAGGGCTACAATTCCCATGTAATTGAGCAAGAGACTAGCCGGTACAGCTGCAGGAAGTCCAAACAAGCCGTATCTACAATGAAACTACGTTGAACATCTATTTTGACCAGTATTATTTTAGGAAGTCTACCTGGACGTAGCCCAGCCGGTCAGACACGACGTCGTGTTCCACACGAGTATTGCTAGTGCCATACCCAATCGGTTCATAATTGGGATAGCAAAAGCATTGGCTAAAAAGAAAATGAGTTAGATCCTAGCAATAAGGCAATAGAGGCTAGTGAACTTACCGATGGCCCATAGAATGCCTCCAATCATAGCAAATCCATGAATAGGTGGAAAACCTTGGAAAGCATGAACTGCTGTGCTGACAAAGAATGCTCCAAGGCATAGGAACAGTTGAGCTGTGAATCCTGGAAAAGCGGTTAGCAATTCCAAGTTTGATAAGTTATAAGTTTTCTAAAAGATCTTTTGACCTTGATCTTTGAAATGCTTCCCAACATACGGCTTCTAGTCAGGTTCGTTTTCCTGACTATGTCAATAGAAACTTGTCTTTTAACATTACACCACTCCTGTCCCCATAGGTCAGGTAAAGCTGAATATCATCGACTTTACTCATATCGGATTCCGCCGCCTGGGGACGGGTTACTTAACCTCGTTGCTAACCAGCTGGGATCCTTCAGTGAAAGAGGACACTCAATGAAGGAGATCCTTAAAATTTGACATAAAATAAAAAATGATGAAGTTTTTGGCGTTAATCAATCCCGTCTGAGGGATGCACCCCGCACTCGACTTCCATTCAGTATCGTAGTGTCGTAATGACTGTGTATGTGGCTTATACATACAATGACATGCGGGGGCCAGACGAAGTACGAGTCAGTGCTCTTATCCTCCCAGACAAGCCTGTACCAATTAACCGACCCCGGAGGGATGGAAGGCTTGGTTGACTTAGACGGATATTGATCTAGGATTCGAACCCGTAACCGTGCATGTGAGATAGTGCGTCACTTGCCACTACACTACCTCCGCCCAACCAGGAAACAGTAAGGGTCTACCCTGGACAAGTCATTGCTCGTATCCTCCCAGGAGAACAGTTCGGCAGAGGCAGGACCTCTTACTACACTGTCTGACCAGATCATTCTATTAACCCTGATTTCGTACGATCGAATCGCAGTAAGCTGTAACCTCCACCTGTTCTCGAAAACATTCGTGAAAAAGACCTTTTTAGCCGCAATACACCGTTCAGTAACACCCATGCTCGGCTTCCGATCAATCTTTGAATTACATTACTGGCTGCGAAAGTATAGGTACTATCTTGTAACTTTGGCAAAGGCGACAAGACCTAAGTGACAGTGTCGAATAAATCGATTGTACCAAATTGGTAGAGGTTGAGGAAAGTTCCCAAACCAGTATACTTTCTGCTGTATGAATTGCAAATGGCAACTCGGGAAACATAGGTTTTTGCATCTTAAAAACGTCTTGAAATCAGTGTCGGTCGGCATGCCTAATGATATATGTATTGGTCCAGATGGCCCCATCAAAATAACAAAAAGAAAATTGAAGACCTACCATCACCGGCTTGGACTCTTTTGATCGGAACGAATACGGTACCAAAAAGAAACGATGCCGTCAGAGCAGCTAACAGTCCAATCCACATCACGCCAAGCTGAATTCAGAAAAATTTGGGCGGTAGAAATTAATGAGGCTTACAGAAGCACAGAAACACCACCGATAGAACTGTGGAGAGGTGAGGTGGTTGGTGTTGGCTAGGCCGAACAGGTTATGAACGAGAAACCGACCGACGATGGACTTTTTCGAGAGGTAATTCAGCTGTTGTCAGACAGTTTTGTGTAAAGCTACATTGTCATTGAAATTGCAAATGTATGCCAATTGTGCTACTGTTTTCTCAGAATTCAGGTATGTTAGTAAAAAGGCCCAGACTGCCTCGAAGTTTCGAACGGGCTCGACTGGCCAAAGAACTGGAAGTGTCTCTGATCAAGTAGCAGTCCTGCAAAAAAATTGGCAGAATCTTTGCAAGGAATCGAGTGGAATAGCCATTTTTAGCAAGAGGTTGCACAGGGATGAGAAAAGCCGTTTCGCACGTATCTGTCAAGGAAATTTAATAGTTCGTCCATCATTCCCAATCCTCCATACCTGTTAACCGTTTAATGATACCTGAATCGTTTGGAAGGGTAGGGAACCTGTCAAGGAAGGCATCGGGTGTTTCACGGAAGTCCTTGAACTTCCGTTTCAAAGTTTGAGTTGGTATGGCAAGTAGCACATTTTTACACTTCATGGTCCGGCGATCGAATCGTCGATCGATAAGCGCCCACGCCAATCAGCACCAGCTTCCATTTTTTCGGGATCGATTAGCTGGTGGCGGACTCGTCTTTGAGAATAAAAGTATTAGCTTGTACGTCGGTTGGTCACCGTAAGTCATTGTATGGGCGCCTGGCAACAAATGGTCCACGTGAGTCCAGCCTCAAGTAGTGTTCAGGAATANAATCGTCGATCGATAAGCGCCCACGCCAATCAGCACCAGCTTCCATTTTTTCGGGATCGATAGCTGGTGGCGGACTCGTCTTTGAGAATAAAAGTATTAGCTTGTACGTCGGTTGGTCACCGTAAGTCATTGTATGGGCGCCTGGCAACAAATGGTCCACGTGAGTCCAGCCTCAAGTAGTGTTCAGGAATACATAGGAACGCCTAAGCAGAAACAGTCCCTCATTGTTTGGACAAAATAGAAATGTACTGCTTCCCTGAATAATCGCTCAACGTTGGGCTCTTTGCCCTTTGAACATTCCGTGTGTCGCTTACCATCAATTTGACGAGCCCTGGGATTTGACGAAACTATTTGGTTGGAATCAAGGGAAGTCCTTGAAACACCATTTTGAAACAAAGTTTTGGCCAAGCAGTATTTCGTACTCCGTCTTGGAGGCGCAGTTCACGATAGTTTTGCGATCACCTTTTATATTGAAAAATGGATCTGTTCGTAAAGAATAGTGACATCTGTGGCAAAGGAAACGAGAAAATCCGAGGGTTTCATGAAAAGTGAGGCTCTTTTAATGTGGCGTAAGTTGCGGTTGTACAAGTTACTATGATGGAAATGGCATGGACGAGTTGTCAATTGTTGCAACGGCGTAAAGGCTGGCTACAGTAAGCTAGAAATGATCAAGTTTGACTTCCACAGCCGCCATCGGTCATGATTAGTCTTTGAGTTTTTATCACGCACGCTTAATAGCAAATAGTGCAGCTTCTACAACGCCATTGAAACTCGTCTCAGTCTTCGGGTGTGGTGGTTCAGTTATGGGACTTTGAACACATAATCGCAAGGCCTTTCAACGTATAACTAGGTCTTTCAACTCGCCCTGGTCGTTTGACTAGTTTTAGATTCGAATAAGTAAGAATCTGGGTCCTATTTCTGTAACTACACTAACATGGTAAAGATTACGCC